AGTGGTGGTGTTTTAGTAATGTCCTTCTTGGCACAGCACTCCACGTGCTCTCTGGCTCTTCAGTTCATCACGCAGCTGTCCTGTCGTGATGGGAAAGGGCGTGGCTTGCTGAAGTTGAGGTCCACGCAGGTGTTTGGTGCCTGTGTTGTCCGTTTGGTTCTTCATTCTGATTCACTGAAGACCAGATAATAATTGAGCACAGAATTCCGCTCTCCGTTGGTCCGTCTTTCTGTCCTTCAGACTGGATTACTTCTGCTGGCCTCTCCTGTCGTGGAGCCCTTCCAGTGAGCTGAGGGTCCCCTGGTGTTGGCTTTAGTCACTATAGTTCTCAGTTCTAGTTGTCATTTGGCTCTTTCTACCCCGTCCCTTGCTGGGGCCTGGTGCTGCCCTCTCCTGGAAGAGCATTGCTCTTACTCTCCTGAACACTTTTACAATGGCTGCTTTCAGGTTTTTGTCAGGTAATGGATTCCAGCACCTTGTGTCACCCTGGCACTGGCACCTGTTGGTGACCTTTTTCCAGGAGCTCAGGTTTTCCTAGTTCTTTGTTGCTGAGTCATTTTAATTGTGTCCTGGACATTTTGGACGTGATGCTGCCAGACCCCCGGGTCTTGTCCTTTCCAGAGAGAATGTTGGCAGTAGTTGACCCAGCTGGGCTCAGGCTGCAGGTTCCAGCCAGCCTTCCGGGATTGTGGTTTCAGCCATAGCTCAGTTTTCAAGAGCTTCAGATCTGTCCATCTTTGTGCTCGTGCTGTGGCCAGGCTGTGAGGACAGTGCCCGTTGCCTTGTCCGGTCTTCCCATCTGATGGTGCTGTGGAGGGCAGGCCCTGCGGCCGGGGTGACCCCAGGCATCCTGTGCAGCCTTAGAGAACACTTCCTCAGGCTCTCTTCCTCCCAACTGCCTGAGCAATGTCACTTCCCTGGGTTTTCCCTTCCCCTTGTCTGGCCAGAGGGCCAGGGCCTCAACTGCCTCTCTCTGCTCCCCACTTCCTGTGGCTGAGCCTGTGTCTGAGGCCACCCAGTGTGAAGACTGGGGAAAAAATTGGCAGGGGTTCTCCCCCAGGTGCTCAGATCACAGCATTTCTCCTCGAAGGGAAGGTCCTTGGTCAGGGAGTGGCTCACGGAAGATGGCTTGCCCAGCGAGTGTGAGGGCCTGGGTTCGCCTCCTGTTGCCACAGGGAAAAAGGCCTCCCTGAGTTTTGACCCCTGCTGTGTATGGTTGCCACCACAGGTTGGCTGGGGCTAGGGTATGAGAAAACAGAGGGCAGAATATCAGGGAAGTTCCCTGTCCCCGGGCCCCAATATAGACTGTATTCACCCCTCTGGCCACGAGTGACCTTCTGGAGTTTTCTCTGTCCCAGTGATGGTCTCAGGCTGCATCAGTGCTGGCTGGGGATGGTAGACATGCTTCTGCTTAGGGTTTACCTCCAGTACCACCTGCCCCCACCCCCACCCATCTGTGCCCCGCTAACCTCTCCGAGTCCTGCTGAGTGGCTGTGCGTCCCCTCCTGGCTTAATTGCTTCAGTGAAAACAGGGTGGGGTGGCTCACTCATCTCCCCAGAACCTCAGAATTCTGCCCTTTAAAAGCCAAGTCTTGGTTGTGAGTCACATATCTGGGAGGAGCCGTGCACCCTCCTCCTCTTGGAACACTCAACACAACCCTTTGCCAATCAGACGATCCTATGTTTTTCCCGGGTCCCAGCTGGTGCTTGTTCAGAAACACAGTTGCTTCACAGCCTGCTCTAAGTCGAGGTGAACATGGGTTCAGGCCACAGTGTTAGTATCAATCTCTTGGGGACAACCTCAGCGCCCATCAGTGACCCCTGCCTGATCGCTTTGTCCTAATCCCTGAGGTGTCAGAATCTCCAAGCTAGGCCTGGGACAGGTGGTACATGGGGATCTGCAGGGTGGCCACCTTTGTGTGAGCGTGTGGAGGTCCACATATGTTCACACGCGTGGGAGTCAGGGTAAAACGAAGCCTGGCCTCAGAGGGAAATGAGGGGTGGGAGGCCTGTCCACTGTGTCCCCTTGGTGTCTGGTGAACGTAGCACTGAAAACAAAGGCTGCCTTGACAGTGGCAGCCTTCACTGTCACCCCGGGCGTGTGGGGTGCTGGTGGCCTGCTCAGAAGTACAGGTGGGAGCCAGCTCAGGGCTGGGGGTCATGCTAACCTGCCGCCCTGTGTTTTGTGGGGATACAGGTTGAGTTCCCTGAAGCTCGGATTTATGAGGAGACCCTGAATATTTTGCTGTACGAGGCCCAGGATGGCCGGGGACCTGACAATGCACTCCTGGAGGCCACCGGTGGGGCTGCTGGCCGCTCTCATCACCCAGATGAGGACGAGGACCGGGAGCGGGAAAGGATCGAGCGTGTGCGGCGGATCCACATCAAGCGGCCAGATGACCGGGCCCACCTCCACCAGTGACCAGGCGGCCGAGCCACCCTCCCGCTCCCGCCTCCCCACCCCACCACACTCAGACCCCGTCAGGCTTCAGGCCCCTCCACCCCTGGGGCCTGAGGTCCTTCTGTAGCAAGCCACGTGGTTATTTTGCTGTTTCTTGACCAGGCGCTTGGGTGGCTTGGACCCAGGCGTTCGTGCCCCTTTGAACCAACCGCCGGAGGCTCTGCATTCCAGGGAGCCGAGTCTGCAAGCCGGGCTCCCGGCCTCAGAAGAAACGTCTGAACGAGTGGAGTGTTGAGAACTTTGTCGCAGTATTTATTGTTGTGGGTGTTGACTACCTATTAGGGCTCCTTGGGTGACTGACACTCCCTAAAGGCTCACGTGACAGTTCCTCGGTGGTCCCTGCACTGCCTGCTGGCTCCTAGGCACTGAGCAGGCGTTCCGCGGCTCTGCGGAAGTCCCTAGTGTGACAGGGCTGTGTGCGTGGCACTTACTGACAGGTACAGCTTAGAGCAGTGCAGCTGGGACCTAGGGACTCCTTGCTCCCACTGTCCCGTAGCCTAGGCCTTCAGGGGACGCCTCTAGCTGCCTTGAGCTTCCCTTCTGGCTCCTCCTCTGACTCCTGCCCCTCCTGGTCGCTGTCTGACCCACTCCATTCCAAGAAGGTCACCAGGTGCAGCTCACAAGGTGCCGCTCCAAGGGCCCACTCCTCTCTGCCCCTTCCCGGTGGAGCTGAGCTTGTCTTCCCTTGTGGTGACAAATTAAGTGTGGCCCAGCTGCCTTGCCGGCTTGGCATCAGGCGGGGACCCCTCACACCCGCCCCAAGGGAGCTTGCCTATCTCGGGTGGCTTCCCTGTGATGAACAGCCGTCCCCTGGAGAGCCCCTTGTGTCTTTCTGATTTCTATGCAGAATACAGTGGCCGTAGGTGAACAGGTGAGGAGGTACAGATACCTTTGGGTCCCTTTTGTGTCTGAGTTCACGATTGTTGAAGGAATGTGTGTGACTGTGGGTGGGGATGTGTGTGTGTGGCCCTCGGTGGCCCAGGTTGGAGCCTGGCTGTGGCCGGTGCATGTGTGGGACGGACTTTCTCAGTCACCTACCTCCCAGCTCTCTGTGCCTGCACAGGGACAGCAATGAACTGTGACTGACGGATGGCTGGTTGAGACAGGTAGAGTAGTTACAGGAGAGGTGTGTGGCAGGGACGATGGGTCTGTGTGCTTCCTAAGGGACCGTTGCTGTTGTATACCAAAGGTGTCAACGTGGGCAGCCTTTGACAGGCGTGTTCCTAAGGCGATTGACTTTGTGTGTATCTCACGGGGTTTACACCTCACCTTCCTGTGCCTTTCTTTTGTATCCAACAGTGACTTTGAAGTAGAACTTTAAAGCAATCATGACGAGCCTGAAAGTCACTTCCGGTAGGCGCTTTGTGAACTGTTGTGTGGGGAACTTTTCTATTAGGCCATTTGCATTTTATTAAGTGCTGGGACAGGGAGCTTCCAAAACGTTTCGTATTTTATACTGTGTGAGTTTTAAACGCCAGCCTGTCACTGGGGTTAAACTTTTTTAGAAAGTTAAGGTGAATGTGAGTCCTGATGTTTTCTAGAGGAATGGAAAAGCCATGTGTGAGTTGTTTGGTGAGCGTTTGTGTGAACGAGAGCTCGAGGCGCGTCTGATGGGCCCCATGCCTTGGGCCCTGCCTCCCCTTTCCTCTGACTTGGCACCTATAGTTTTTTGTTGCCGCTTCCCAGGGATTTTGAACAGGTCTATAAAACATTCCATGGTGAAAAACAGTGTTGGCTGGTCCAAGTTCTGCTATTGAATACTCTCTACAAAGACCTCATCTTTCTGATGCCAGCGCCCAGGGCAAAAGTCAGTATTTCTGAACCATCCAAGTAAAACAGTGGCCCTGGGACTGGTGAAGAGGAGGGTCTTATTATGTTGTAGCTTAGCCTTAAAACAAATGGGAACAGCTTTTGGTCTGTGGTGATCAAGTTCAAGTCATCTGACTGTGGTGGGGGCCTGTGCCTCCGACCATGCCTGGCACATCCTTTGCTGCTTCCTGCGGCTCAGCTGGCTGACCTCTGCGGCGGCCCCACCCCTGGTGTCCACCTGGACCTGGACCCTCCAGCTGCTACCCGGCATCCTCATGGGACACCGATCGCCCGTCCCTCTGGAGTGTGCATTGTCTTTAGGGCTCCACCCAAAGTCTCCAACAAGTTAAGCATGCCATTGGCTTTCCCGTCTGTGCTGAAAAAGATGTGTAAGTTCTAGAAGTGGACACCTCCTTGTGCAAGCATTTGTGGGTCTATGTAAAATAAAAGTCCTATTCTGCTTCTCTTTCCATGTGATTTCTGGGTCTTTTCAGGGATGTCCAGCACAACCAAGCCCCTGCACCAGGCAGTGGCCAGCAGAGCTGGCAGAGCACCTGCGTCCTGTTGCACACCTGTGGTTGCTGCGGTGGGAGGGGAGGGGAGGAGAGGGGAGGGGAGGGGAGCCAGGCCCTGTGGTGTGGGACTGAAACCCAAGTCCTGGGTGAGGAAGCAGAGTCGTCCTTCACCGTATGGGTGCTCACTCCCCCCATCAGAAACTGAACCCAAATCCTTGAACTTGTAAGTTTCATTTATTTAAAGCAAAATTCAAGTCTTTGAAACTTTATGAAATTTCATTTACTTACTCATAGACCACACAGTATTTCATCATGTCTTGAATAGCTTAATGGAGGTAGAGAATCCGTCATCCACCCTGGGACATGCCCTGTTGAGGGGGGTTCTATTAGGGACGCTGAAAACAACCCCCGTGGACAACAAGGCGGGCTCTCAGAAGGCGTCCTAATATGAGTGCCACTGGGAAGCTGGGTCGGCCTTTGCTGTGACATGCCACTCGGTCTCCGCACAGGGGGCCTTTTCCGATAGGTGCTGGCATTTTTCCTTGAACACGTAGCTAACTGGATTTTTTCCTGCTTTTCCGGTCCTTTTCTCAGTTGGAGCACAAACAGCGCTGGTGCGGTCAGGCGTCACGCCGTATCAGGACTTCCTCCGAACAGACACCTAGGAGAGTCGCCCCTTAGACACCCAGCTGCTCCCTTGCATCATGCAGCCCTCTGCACCAGAGTGAGGGGGGGGGGCTGAGGAGCCAGCCCCACCCCCCAGGGGACAAGGTAGATGTAGAAAGTGGCTCACAGGCCTGTCGGCATGGTCAGCCTGAGCCAACTGCCGAGGAAGAGGGGCTGTTGGACTGAAGGAGAGAGGGTCAGTCTCTCAGGTGTAAGCTTGAAAACATGCATGTCAACTGAAAAATCACCCCGTCAGCTGACATTGAAAATGGTCCTCCCTTGAACTTATTCCTAAAGGGGGCCATTGAGTTATAAAAGTTAAATCCACAAAACACTTTTATTGGTAAACAAGTTCAAGTGTGTAGGAGATTCTTTGCTCTCTAAATGGTATCAAATAATAATTCTTGGTATAAATAGGAAGGACATTTTAATGATTTAGCCTCCAGATTTATACATCTCACTTCCAAGGAACATTAGGTCCAGACAAGCTGGTCCTCCTGCTGTGTGGACTGGGGACCTTCGGCTCAGCACGGGGCCTGGTCAGGGAGGTCCGGGTCCCTGAGTGCCCAGCCTCGGGTTCTCCTCCCCGTAACTAAATTACGATTTATGGGGGACTCCAGCACATGGGCTCCATGTGGAGACAAGTTTGAGGGGTGAGTACTTCGTGTCAGCCTCTTGTTCACTGGCAGTTAAACATGGTAGACTCTTTGCCTCCTCCAGTGTTTAATTTCATGCTTCTAGTGTCCATTTTTTCCCCTCTCAGATGTGGAATTGGGGATGGAGGGGAGAAACAATCCACTTTCTAAATCTATATTCTCTTCTGAAAGGCTTCTCTTCCCCCACCCCCAAGGCAGCCACTCACCACCGTTAACTGTCCATTTTTATCTTTATAGATGTGTTCTTCCAGTCCAGTATGGAAAACTATTGTGCCTTCTTTCCCAGGACTAATATAAAACTGTAAACTTAGAACACACAAAGTGACAAGTTACTGACACATGGTTTTTTTTTGCCCCCAGCTTTTGGTCTGGAAAGTAAACTCATGTGAAATTTTGTTGGTTTCAAGATGAGATTCCTGTTTCGTCATTGTGTTTATTGCCTATTTGAGCAATCAGAAGAAGAAAACCAGTTTTACAACTGGATGATTTACATGTTTCTGTAGTTCAGTCAATTTTTCATAGGGCCAATCTGATGCCTGAGGAACAAGCTACACATCTTCATGCCAGAACTTTCTTGTGGGAGGGCACCAGGGATTGATCTCAGGGGCACTCACCACTGAGCCCCATCCCCAGCCCTATTTTGTATTTTATTTAGAGACAGGGCCTCACTGAGTTGCTTAGGGCCTCACTTATGCAGAGGCTGGCTTTGAACTCATGATCCTCCTGCCTTAGCCTCCCGAGCCGCTGGGATTGCAGGCCTGGGCCACTGGACCCGCCTGCCAGAACTCTTACAGCCGCCTAAGTCTTGCCTCGGGTACAGAAGGACAGACAGCCCTGTTAAAGTGCCCAGCGCTCTCTCCCTGTTCCCCCACAGATCTGCTCATCATCCTGTAACAACTTGGAGCAGAGGAAAGGAGCCCTTCTCTTCAGGAGCAGTCTGCTTCTGTGGGCTGTGCAGGAGTCCGTGAGAAGGAGTCGGGGTGGCCTCAGCCATCCACACACCCTCACTGGCCACTGCAGTGCCCCCTAACAGGGCATGCTGGCTAACCTCCTGTGCTTTGCTTGCCTTGTCTGTGAAATAGAGAAGGTGGCAGCAAAGGACAGGCACAGCAGTGCCCACCTGCAGTGACTCTGGAGGCTGAGGCGGGAGGATCATGAGTTTGAGGCCAGCTGGGGTGTAGCTCCGTGGTAGAGTGTTTGCCTAGTGTGTGCAAGGCCCAGGGTTCCATCCCCAGTACTAGAGAAACAACAAAAGGTGACAGTTGTTTCACCGTGGAGAGAATTAGGGGGTATTTCATATCTGCATGGTAGGTATTTTTATACTCCCTAAAGAGACTAGCATATTCTTTGGTTAGTCTGTAGGCAGCCATCAAAGCTGGGGCCTGGTGCACGGAACAGGTCCCACCAGGCATCCATGGCAAAGGTGGGCTGCCGACACTGAGGCCCAGTGAGCCTCCTCTTACTTGGGGATGGTGTCCGTCAGGAACATAAGCACCTCTTTTGAAAACTCTGGAAACACTACCACTTCCGAGGTCAGTGACCTGACCTCTTCGTTTCTCTGGATCCCAGGGCGGAGGGGCAAGGATGGGGAAAGCCCTTTATCAGGGCGGGCAGGGGACACCACTGGAGACTCCCTCCCACCCCACTGGTGGACCGTGTTGTCCGCTGTGGGGGGGGACACAGGCCTGGGCAGAAGGATTAACATCTCCGTCTCTTAGGCCTGTTGGTGTTTGGACACTGAGTTACTCCCCAGGCTGAAGAAGAAGCCACCTACCTTCCTTGAACAACGTTTACCATGTTCTCCTTCTTAACCAGCATGACCAGTTTAGTAACCGCCTCAAACGGGTGTTCACACTGTAAGACAGCGTCCCCCTGGGGGAGAGGGGACGGCCATGGTGTCAGTGTCAGTGGTGTCAAAGGAAAAGTTCAGCTCTCATCCTGAGGTTTGGTGGCACTTGACACTTTAGAGGCTGGCGGCCATGCATTACCTTCTGCTTGATGTCTTCTGGTGACACATGAATGACCAAGATCCCATCACTCAGACTACTGGTGGAAACACCTTAAGACAGAGGCAGTCAGGGGCCGGAGGGGGGCAGCTCACTAACAGACCTGAAGGGCTGCACCCGGGGCTCCCCAGCCCACCTGGCTCCTCCCAGACACTGGGGCAGAGGGTGGGGACCCTGCTGTTGGACTGTGAGCCCAGGCAGAGCCAGTCATTTTGTGGAAGGCGACTGTTGCCCAACCTGGATGCTCGGAGCAAGAGGCCCAGGCCCCGGCATCCTACCCTGAGCCTCCCGTTTGTGGGCTGCTTGCTCGCTGGCCCCTCAGTCCTGGGTCACCTCCGGGAGTGCCTGAAAGTCGCCCGCCTACCCTTGAGCGCCGAGTACTCTATCTTCTGCTTGATCTTGGCCATTTCCACCACATAAGCCGCTTTCCGAGTGAGGATGAGTTGCCGCTGCCGAGCCTTGAAGCCTTTCCTGTCGTACTTGATGACTGGGACACCATACTGCAAGGAGGCTGGCGTCACCACGGGGCGGGGGACGGGGAGAGGTGACCTCCCAGGGTGGGAACCTGGGAGACTTGCTTTAAGCACAGAGACTCGGCAGGTTTTGCATGAACAGATCTTTTCTCTGCCAGGCTCTCTGTGTGGTAGACTTGGGGGCTCAGCTCTGCCACGTTGCCCTCTGGGGAAGCAGAGGCTACGGCCACCAGCCCCAGGGCTCTGCTCTGAGAGGCCAGCAGAGAGGAAGACACTCTGGGCTTGAAAACCCTCTCAGCCTGGGAGGAGTCCGTCCCACAGACTCCCAAAAGGGCAGGAACAGCCTCCAAGCACACCAGCAAGGCCACGTTCACGTCAGCCAGGGGGCAGGCTCAGCAGGTACTGTCACCTCGGTCGTCCCCTTAGTGACCTCATCATCCACATCCACAAGACGGCCACTACACTGAGAAGACAGACCACCCACTGCCCCTCACCAACACGGGTGCTTCCTGAGTACGTTCCAGGCTGCGTCAATTTCATACAAAAAAACCAAATCAGATTTTAGGATGACAGAGAAAAACCTCAAGAACAGCCACCAGCATCTAATTGCCATTCGTCACCCTGTCACTTTTAATAACACCCAGAGCAGCTCCCAGCCGCACCCCTGCGGTTAAGTAGTGCTTCAGACGCTCCTCAGAGAACAGGTGCCCCCCCCCACGGTGAGGGAATCCTGCTGAAGGCTGCGATGCCCGCTCCCGTACCTCGACTTTCTCACTGCCGATCAGTTGGAGCACCTTGGGGTGAATGTCTCCTTCATCTAGAGAGAAGCAGACACCTGAATCACCACTGAGTGCCAGCCTCGGGGGAGGCACAGCCACCTACGGGTTTGCTTTCCTCTGTGCCAAGGTCAAGGTCTCTGCTGGGGAGACTGCTCTTGGGAAGTGCTGGGGTCCTCGAGCGCCTTCCTTGACGTGTTCAGAACTGGATAAGCACCTCGATAGGAAGGTACTTACCTATCCGACTAGTAGCAAAGGGCTGGCGTAAGCTGTCTGCGTAGCCTTCTTTCTTCCCCCTGAATATTTCACTTGTAACCACCTTTTGCTGCATCTGGTAAAACAAATGTGCCAAAATGGTAGCCCTGGGACTGTCTTAGGGACAAAGGAGCTTTAGATCCATGGTTGGCTAAACCATAGGATTAGCTGACCAAAAAACCCCCAAAGTTACATTGGTAGAGACTGGGATCAACATTTGTGTGGCTTCCCCAAAGTGGAGTTTTCAAAACTTCAGAGAGCAATTGCCCTCTTCTCAGATCAGAGCTCAGCAAACTACAGCCCCAGGGCCAAGTGCAGCCTGCAGCCTGTTTTTGCAGAGTCAAGATGTACTGGGACCTAGCCGAGCCTGTCATTTACATGAGCCTGTCATTTACACAGGCGCTACCCGCCTGCTGGAGCCGCAGAGTGCTAACTGGTTAGATTGTCACAGAGATCACAGAGATGGCATCGCTCACGAAGCCTAAGGTACTCGCACTCCAGCCCTTTACAGAAAAAGCCGGCCATAGAAAGGGTCCTGGATTGTCTCCATGGTAACCACACAGAGCTACCGACTGGAACTTGAGCTGACACTCAAGGCTCGTGCTGGGTCCTCGGCTTGGCTGCAGGTCATGGCTGGCAACACCCTTCACTTGTAGGGGGGATGCTGGACAAAGCCTCCTGACACTACCAGTCCCCACTGCAGGACGGGCACTCGCCCCTCCTCCATCCTGCCCCCAGCAGACGCCACGTGCCTACCATGGCTCTCCGCTCATCCGTCACCCCGCGGCAGTACTTGCGAACCAGGTTCCTCAGGCACATCTTCCTGAGCAGGTCGGAGGCCTGTGTGGAGAGCACACGTCCTTCTACCCGCCTGGCCCACACCGTCCTGGGTGGAGCCACCACAGTGGAAGCTTGGAAAACACACTTGGATGCGGTTTAAGTTCAGTGTTAATATTGTGGCATCAAAGCAGCGAGGCTTCTGGGTGCTCACTTTTCAAATTTGCTTAAGTAGCGGATCACAAACTTGAACATGGTCATGGTCCCTCTGAGAAGGAGCAGGCTTGATGTTCCTAAAGATTCTCACTCAGTGGGTCTGAGGTGGAGCCCAAGAAGAATCTTATAGTGGCCTCCACACCACATCTGGACATCCTTTTTTTTTTTTTTTTTTGGTATCAGGAATTGAACCCAGGGATGTTCAACCACCCAGCCACATCCACAGCCCACCCTTTTTTTTTAAAGGGTCTCACTAGGTTGCTTACAGTCTCACTAAATTGCTGAGGCTGGCCTTGAACTTGAGATCCTCCTGCCTCAGCCTCCCGAGCTGCTGGGATGACAGGTGTGCACTACCACACCTGGCCTCGGGCCATCTTTTGAGAAACTTTTTAACAATCATTGGACCTACTGGGAAAGCTCTGTCAAGGATAGAAATCATTCAAACAGACCCCGGTGGCTTTATAAGTTAGGAAGGAGATCGTGTCACTTGCAACAGAGCCCCTCTTAGTCCTCACGTGTTCCAGGATGCCCGGAGGCCGCAGCCAGCTCTTGTCCAACACATTCTTCGGAACATGATTCCGAAGATTCAGGATGTAATTCTTCCGCACGAACACTATGAACTCCTCGTTGTCAGGGCAGAGGGGTCTGTGGCGATGGATGAATCCCTTGATGAACCTCAGAAGAGAAGCCTTCCGTCAGCTTTCTGGCCCATTTCCTCAGAGATGCGCCTTCTCTTCCCCATTTGATTCAGAAGCCAAAGTCACAGGTGGTTTAGGTGACCACATGGGACAGAAGCCAGGAATGAAGCCCACAGACCAACCGTGCCCCAGAGACATGTCCCGCTTCACCCACGTGGCCTTGTGCTTTGACTTGTCTGAATTAGCTGCCAATTTAAAAAGTCGGGAGGTCTTGCATAAAAGCCAGATCTCCGCTCTCCTCAAATGATGGAGTGATCCGCCAGCTGTGGCCTCTGTGTCTCCAGGCAGCAACTGACTGGCACAGTCACCGCCCCACTGACGTAGACTGAGGTCCAGTTCACCACAGTCCCCACCACGCCCTACTGCCTCGTCCCAGCTCATGAGACTCTTTACCTGCCTGGCTTCAGAGGGCATTCACCCATGTGACTCTGAACTAGGCCAAAAGAAGGTACAAATGCACGGACTGGGATCACTATCACATTGGGGAGCTCAGAGCAAAGAGGAGGAACTGAATTCCCAGCAGCTTCCAGAAAAGAAGATCTTTGTGCACAAATTCAAACACCCCAAGAACCCAGCCACGCCCAAGACCCTCCCCTGCAGCACACCACGTTGAGTGACCTCTGCTCCCTGTCGGCTGGGAACTCACCTTCTTATTACCTGCACTGCCCACCTTCTCCGCTGGACCTCCCTTCGAGCCAGGACTCCACGCCAGTGGGCTTCCAGTTTGGTGGCTGAAAGAGCCCATTGCTGACATTAGCGAGTGGTCACAGTCACAGGTAAATACAAACGGCTGCTCCAGGCCTCGTCCACCCAGGGCACGTCGGGGTCACCCCCCCATGTGCCCTGCTGGTACAGAGATGGAAAGTCCAACGCATGTCATTAGTTCTTACCTGGGGACGCTCAGGCCGACACCTAGACCAGGGAGTCAGAGACCAGGGTGCCCTGGAGGACCCAGGGAAGCTGGGAATCACACAGGGGGTTTCCCCAAGGTCTTTTTTGGGGACAGGAGTGGCTCTTGTGATAGTATAGATTAGTCATACCACACATTTAGTCAGCCTCACCCAACGCTGGCTTTAGTGGTCAGCATTTAAAAATTGGAAGAAAATAGAATGCACAAAAATCAGATCCTGGCCAATATCCCCAATTTTTAAATACTTTTCAGATTATTTTTTGGTAATTTGGATTTTTTTAAATGCCTTTCTTTTTCCCTCGCTGAACTGCACTGTTTCTTTTACAGAAGCACAAGCAACTAGAAATAACCCACATGTCCCCCAACAGAACTGGATTGTGGAACACCCAGCTCAGGGGCCAACCAACATAAATAAAATTCAAAGGCAGCACAGCTAGGCACGTTCATTTACATATTGTCTAAATCTACTTTCATGCTACGGTGTTGAGTAGCTGTGGCAGGGGTCATCTGACTCCAAGTCTAAAATATTTGCCAAGATCTTGTTGACTGCTGACTTAGAGGAATACAACACAGCCATGGAAATGAGCCAATCACATCTGGTTGAATTCCAAAAAACAATTTAGAATGCAAAACTGTGGCCACAAAATACCAACAGTATGATTTTCTTAAGTTCAAAACATGCCAAACGAGAAATATATTGTTTGGTGATGTGTCCACAGATGGTAAAACAGAAAAACAAGGAAATGAATATTGGAAGATTCAGCAGAGACTGCATCTTAGAAATGGAGGTTATTGTTTGAGAACGTGATGTGGGAGGCGCTTGGAGGCTGCCTGTCATGTCTGAACAAAGTGCCTGTGGAGCAAACATTGCTGGTCCATAAGGTAAGTCTGAGAAGGGGCCAGGTTTCCAGGATGGGCAGGGGGAGGGCAGGGCGGCCATGGGGCCCAGGCACCGCACACGCAGGCTCCTGCCGACTGCTTACCTGCCTGTCGCTTCTTCACGTATTCCCTTCTTCCTAGGCGGCCCTTGTACGTGGCTTGGATTCTCGCAACTTAAAGTAAAACCAAAAGTTTTGGTGAAACGACTTTCATCTGGTTGTCTTTGCGGTTGTGACCTCCAAGAGGCACCGGGCATGGCCTTCCCAGGCCGCGAAGCCCTGGCACAGGCTGCCGACTCAGCACCTGAGAGCAGGCCTGCTCGTGGGCCTGGGGCCGGGCTTCTCTGCCTTTCTGTTTCCTTCCCCAGGTAGGGGACAGACCCAGTGGTGGAGCCACCAGTTCCGGGTGTTCTAGTCCATCCCCAGGCCACACCCCAGGGGCAGGCAGCACCCGCACATTTCCGATAGAGTCAGGGGCTCTGAGCGTGGAGACACCTGCTGGGCCACAGGTGACACGGCCACTGAGGTGGGTGGGCCACAAGACACCCCAGCTTCTCCATCCACCATCCCCCCACATTCATCTGAGATCCCACCAGAGGCCAGGTTCATGGAGGGCCTTGCCGATCAGTAGCACGTCCCCCAGGAGCTGGGCAGAGATGCCGACTCAGGCCCCCTGCAGCCGGCTGAGCCAGCACCTCATGTCCACCTCATCCCCAGCCTTAAGTGCCGGCGGCCAGCACATTCGTATGAGGTCAGGAATGAGATCAGTGAGCTCTGCCCCATGACCAAGCCCCCGCCCTCCTGCTCAGGAGCCGTGTGGCCTTCAGTGGTTACCAAAGTCTCTGTGTCCCAGAGTCCCCGAGTATAGAGTGGGGATGGTAACACCTACTCCAGGATTTGTCCTGAGATGAGATCATGGGTATCAAGAACTTAGTGTGCAGCTTACAGCGAGCATCAGTTACTAGTGGTGACTAGTTAGTCACCAGGCATGGTGGCACACGTCTGTCATCCTAGAGGCTCAGGAGGCTGAGGCAGGAGGATCTCGAGTTCAAAGCCAGCCTCAGCAACATAGTGAGGCCCTAAGCAAGTCAGTGAGACCCTGTCTCTAAATAAAATGCAAAAATATAGGGCTGGGGATGGGGCTCAGTGGTTGAGTGCCCCCGAGTTCAATCCTTGGTACCCCTGCCCCACCCCCCAAAAGAGTGGCTAGTCCATCCTAGACCAGTTTAGATTTCCAAGAAGTCCCCCGTCCCCAGTGCTCTGTAATTCCCCACCACCAAACTTTTCTCATTTATGGGCTCAGCGGTAGAGCCCTGTCCTCACATGTGCAAGACCCTGGGTTCGACCTCAGTACCACTTATAAATAAAGTAAAGTTTAAAAATATATTTTTAAAAAAACCTTTTTCTCATTTATAATAAACACCCTGGCCGCAGGCTTGGAAGCTATGCCTGCCAACATCAGATACTTACTGAGTTTTAAAAACCTGAAGGCAGGGGTGATGGGCTCTGGTGGTGTTAGGGCCCACCTGCCCAGCCAGGTGGGGTCCACAGGACAAGCAGGCACTAGGGCACTGGAGTGTCTGCCTGCGCCCAAGGCTGCCCGCCCGGCACTCCCTCAAGCCCTCAGTGCACACGTATCTTATCCTAATTCTGTGTCTCGTTCCTGGTTTCCAACATGAGTATGTCCAATACCAAATCAGACTCCCATGTTTAATAGTTACTCCCCCAAGCTGGACTTTCTCATTTTACCTTCTACTGCAATCAGGGCAGAAAAAAGAATCATACCTAATTGATGTTTACTAAATTCAAAGGCATCTTCCGTAGCAAACAGGGTTCTGGGGAAACGAATGAATATTTTGGTTCTAGAAGTGAAAAGAAATGTGTGAATTGGTGGGTTACCCCTGTCGTGGCTGAAGAGCATCCCCCTGAGATTCATGTCTGCTCAGAAACCTCAGAAGGTGACCTTTGGAAGGAGGGTCTTTGTGGATGAGAGGATGCGAGGAGCTCAGACCAGGTGAGGGAGGGCCCTCAACTCCAGAAAAGTGTCCCAGCAAAGAGGCCACACGACGACCAAGGCAGACCAGCCTGCTGCCACCAGCCCAGGGAGGATCCTCCCGTCGGAGGTCCAGAAGGGGCGCAGCCTTGCCAGCACCCTCATCCTGGGCTTCCGGCCGGCGGAAGCGTGAGAGAATGAATTTCTGTTGTGAAGTTCCAGGCCATGAATCCGCCATGCTAACCTGAAATTGCTGCAGGCTGTGCTCCTGTGCCTTGAGGAGTGATAAGGAAGAACACAGGTCCCAGCTTAGAAGGAGACCCAGCCCAGGTGAGTGCTGGGCTCAGGTTGCCTGCCCTGCCCCACACCTGCCTCGGGAGGGAAACTTCCCAGGGCAGCCACTAGGGCGCAGTAGTGAGCAATGCCCCTGCTCCTACTTCCCCCTCCCGAGTCATCCCATGAGGACAGACCTCCTAACCCTGACCTCCAGGACCTGCTTCCCTAGGAAGTGCCGTGCCCGATCTCCCCAGGGATCTGGAATGAGTAGCCGATTCTTGGGACCCAGAATAAGCACCCCAAGATAAGCCTCATACAAGCAGGAGGTAGGAGCCAGCAGGGAAGGCCCATGGATAGGTTCAAAGGCAGCTGTCCCTGAGGTGGGGGCCCTGCATTCTGGGAATGGGCCGTCTCCATGCCTCTTGCAACCAAATGAGTCCTGACCACAGTGACTCGCAGAACAGACTCCGATCATCCCCCTCATCCTACCAAGTGGCGCCCAAAGGCTTCCACTGTGTATAGAAGTTCTCTGCCCAAGGGTAACTTCAACTCTATTCTAGAAAGCACTTTGGGGGATGGTAAAGATGACTTCACGTTGCACAGGTCCTAATGCCACCTCCAGGAAGTCATGCACCCATTTTAATAATGAGAGAATCTAGGCTCAGAGGAAGGGGGTCCACCCATGGCCCCCTCTTCGTTTTGCAAGCAGAGATTCATTCCAGCTACCGAGTCAGGTTCAGAACCCAGGGGCCCCTTAAGAACTCCATCTCCTCTTCTAGCCATTGGAAGCCACGTTTAAATTGGGCTTATAAATCTACAAATGAGTCCCCTTCAAAATGAGGCTGTAGATCAGGGTGTGACAGCAGGGGACAGTCAGTGGGCAGTTTGCTGGCTACTCACTTCCCTAGCTTGTACTCCTCGGGTCTGTAACCGATGTACTTGATCAGCCGTTCTACGCCCTCTCCCGGAGGCCCATGCCAGTGTGGCCAGGTGTCTGGGCACAAGGACTTGTACCTGCCAGGAGAGGAGATGACACTCAGCAGCCTTTCCTGGACAGTATCCACCCCCCACGCCATCCGAGTCTGCTGAGCTCCCTGACGCCGTGTGACATCTCACACCAACTTCCTCTGATTCAGCTCAGCAGTGAGGTGAGTGGTCCAGCAGAGCGGGCGCCCTGTGTGTCCTTAGGAAAAAGGACATCGTTGGACCTTCAACCCTCGTAACTGCATTCCACCCCGAGGTGGGTCCCTAGGAGAAACAAAAGCCCTGTCCACACACAGACTCACGCACCAACGTCCACAATAGCCAAAGGCCAACAACCCCATGTCCTTCCAGGGGCACCAACAAACAAATGTGTCCCTCGCCAGAGGAAAGAGGACTACGGTTGGAAGTGACTGAGGACTTTCCTGTAGGGTCATTCCGACTCCAGAACCTAATCCCGCATCCTCCCCTTGCTCCTAGGCAGCAGCCCTGAAGATAACCCAGCCCCTCACCTAACCAGGGACCCCGTTCTCACCCTCACCCAGATTCACTCTTGCTCACACAGAACGTCCCCAGCCGGCCTCACCTATCTCACCAGTCTCCCCCACTCAAGGGCAAACTCCATAAGGCAGGGGAGGGGCCTGTCCTGTTCTCTGCTGTCCTCTCCCCACACCCAGGCGCAGGAGAGGCGCCCACTAGTGCTATGGCCGGAACAGAGGAGCCCCAGACAGCAGCCTGCGGAGCCGCAAAAACAGTTCAAAACCTGCAGGACCATGGAGCACCGTGCGTGTGGGGGTGGGTGGGGGGACCAGGTTGGGCAGGGACCGTGGCTCCCGCCTTCACCAGGACAAGGGTCACCAAGCCACTGGGAGCTGACGGGCAAACATGGTGGGCAACGGAGAGGCCAGTCATCTGACAGTTCCTGAAGCAAACCCCAAAGACACCCTGATGACAGGCTGAATGGAGTTACCAGTGACACGGCCACTGTGACCTACACCATTACCATGCCACTCTGCTTCTCTTGAGCACCCGTGGTTGTTTTAGTGGTACAGAGTCCTGCGTGGCCCATCACCAAGGAGGTGTCGGTCCAGGCACTCTGGGTGTCGGTGGGAGCGGGGTGAGTCCCCAGGGCTCCCAAAGCCCCTGATGGCAGACTCCTGAACCCCCACCTGACAGGTAGGGAAAGAGGTCCTGGCCCTAAGGAACATCATGGGGATTCCCAGCCAAGATCGTGTGTCTCCAAACCTATGCCCCAGCCCCACCCCCGTTTCTGACGGCTCTGGCACCCACCCACCCAGCACCTACAGCCACAGAGGCCCGTGGTCCCCACCCCTCCCCCAGCGCTCAGACCCTCGCAGGGCGCGGCCACGCCTGCCCCCTGGTGGCAGATCCGCGCATAGTTCCCTGACGTCGGAGGTCAGGGAGGGCTCCGCGGGCGAGCCCAGACCAGCCCAGTGCAGGCTGCGTTCTCTCCTCCCGCGTGTTAGCGCTGTTTTCCTGCCACAGCGGTTGCCATCAACCGAGAAAGTGCCACCGTTGGAATCCCACGGGAGGCGACGGATTTTTAAGGGCTCGGGGTCACCGTGGCGAACTCTACCTTTGCAAGAAATGCTCGTATCTCCTGCGGTACGCAAAGCCGGCCCGCCGCACCCGCAGGTGCTCCATGAGCCCCAGGTACTTGATCTGGTGTCTGATGAGGAAGTCATCGAACTTGCCTTTGCAGAAACAGAAGAGGGAGTGACCCTAAAGGACCGCGTGGCTTCATTTCAACCAACCAGACCAGGGGCTCCAGCTGACCGGCCAGGGGCTGAGGCTGGCCCAGACCATTTTTCAGGCCTAATTGTGCTCCTTAGACGGGGAGTGTTAGAGGACATTCTGGACTTCTGGGGTCTTCTAAAAATTCACCAGATTTGGCCACCCTGGGCCCAGAGTCCCATGTGGCAACTGGTTACAAGGGGGACAGGGCCATGACCCTTTGAGATGAGGTGGCGGGGTGGGGGGCGCCCTCTAGTTTGCCACAGTCCCCTCCACTCCCTGTTGCTCACTCCCGGTCACCTTCGCTCATTGGCTCAACCTGTCTGGCCTCTGTCGCCTCTGACCGGGGCCCTCCTGAGAGGTCATGGCAAGGGCTTAGACAGGACCCAAGTCGTGGGCCATTTTGGAAGCCACTCGGCTGGGTGGAAAGCCGGGCTGCTTCCCTGGCCCCCCGGGTGGCCCCTACCTGACCCGGGCTCACCCTAGAGCACCAAAGGGACCCTCTCCTGGTTCTCCTGCTTTCTATCGTCTAAAAAGGGAGGTGGTTCACGGACGAGGACCAGGTTCCCCGGTGGCCTTTAGGCCCCTAACCCTCGGCCACCCTGGCTCACCCCCAGCCTCTCCCCGGAGGCCAGCGTTCAGCGCCTGGGACTCACTGGGCTCCTTGGTGTCGTTGGGCTTGATGCAGCGGATGTAGGAGGGCTCCTTGCAGATGAGCATTTCCAGGAGGCTGCCCAGGCTGTCCTTAAACTGAGTCCCCACCTGGGGCCCAGAGGGCGCGGAGAAGGCCCTGGTCAGACTCCCCACAGACTGTCCTGCTGTCACCACGTCGCCTATGGGGTCCCCTCACCCAGCAGCCCCCGGGGAGCATCTCGCAGGAACCAGCGCCGTGGCTGAGCTGGTCGCCACCCGCTGTACTTCCCCATGCTTCTGTCAGACCCCTGAGCCCCCGTCTAAGTCATCATGGCCGCTCCTCCTACGCCCTCTCCCACCAGGTGGAAGCCCCTAGAGGGGAGGGACCTTGCTGCCCTGCTGTTGCAGAACCCGAGCCCAGTTCTGTGCCTGGCACACAACGAATGTCTGCAAAAGGACCTGGACTGGAACTCAGTGCAGAACGATGCTTCCAGAATCGCAGGAGGGTGGCTTTAAAAGCGCAGGTCACTGGAGGTCCCTCCATCCCCAGGGATTTTTTTCCCTTTCCAAATCTGCATAGGCATTTTTTTTTTTTTTTTTTGCCACTCACTGTTGGTGGCCTCCTCCGGTTTTCCAGCTCAGCCACCAGGAAGCATTCCCTCAGGATTCTGTTGCTGGACCTGCACAGCACCTGTAAGAGCACAGAAGGGAGACCGCATTTGCTGTTTCCGAATCCACTAAGGGACCTTCAGGACACTCAGAAGTGTGTGTGAAGCCGGGGGCGGTGGTGCCCACCTGTCATCCCAGCAGCTCAGGAGGCTGAAGCAGGAGGATTGCAAGTTCAAGGCCAGCCTCAGCAACTTAGCAAGGCTCTAAGCAACTCAGTGAGACCCTGTCTCAAAATAAAAAATAAGCAGGGCTGGGGGTGCGCCTCAGTGGTCAAGCCCCCCTGGGTTCAGTCCCTTAATTTTTTTTAATTTAAAAAATTAAAGAGTGTGCATGTGACAGCAGAGTCCTCGGCTTCTTGGGCACCTGAAGATATTTCTAAGTGAAAAAGAAAAGGGAGGAAACACAAACAGACGTGGGAGGAGAGCCAGCCCTTGCTCAGCAGGCCCAGGGGCCTGGGTTCCATCCAGCATCACCAAAAACAAGGGGAAACCCAGGTACAGACGCTGTATCCACCCAGTCTGTTTGCCGAGGCGGGCTCTGTTTAATTCTCTGACACGCTGTTATGAAGGTGCTCAGCACTACCAAATGGTAAATGGTCAGTAGGGTAAGATCTTGTGGTATATATGTTTTGCCTTTTTTTTTTTTTTTTTGTACCAAGGATTGAACTCAGGGACTCTGGACCACTGAGCCCCATCCCCAGCCCTATTTTGTATTTTATTTAGAGACAGGGTCTCACTGAGTTGCTTGGGGCCTCACTTTTGCTGAGGCTGGTTCAGAACTCAACATCCTCCTGCCTCAGCCTCCTGAGCCACTGGGATGACAGGTGAGGCCACTTCACCTGGTACAAATTGTTTTTTTAATGGAAACTTGTTTGTTTAGACCATTCTGATTCTAAACTAACAGTGGCGTGGAAGAGTCGTTTTAGATTAGACGAGAAAACAATGACAAATGATCCATCTTGAAGTCAGAGAAACCTCAGGGGACTCCAGCTGGGGATGGTGAAGGGAGAGAGGTCTCTGGGGACACAGGCTTGGGGGGTCGCCCTGTGAAGCGTGTGGCCGTGGCCCACAGAGGGGAGAGCCACAGGTTTCCCGTGTGTGTACCAGGCTGCCCACTCCTGAAGACGGCGTCACCAGATCCCCTGAGCAATAGGCAATCTGCCAGGAAGTCCCCAGCTAGGAGGGCCCGTGCCGACTCAGGGGCAGACCAGTGGCCCGGTGCAGGAATTCAAGGTCAGCAGTCACTAGCCACACGGAACCCAAAGAGGCTGGGACTAACCTATTTAATAAACTTAGCTAATTAAATGAAATGCATGTCTTGGGTCCAAATCAGTTAGCTGTTTCAACATAAAGGCTTTAAGAACCCAAGGTTTCTCTGGTTGGTGAGGTCTAGGGAACAAGATCGGAAATTTCATTGGCGGTTCCAGGGGTGAATCCCAGCTGCATCTCCACCACCTTGTGACCTTGAGCAAGCTGTGACCTCTCTGGGTTTCAGTTTCCTTATCCTCAGGTCATGTCACACCAGTATATCCTCACACTGCATCAAAAAAAAAAATCTCCACTGTTCCCTGTGAACCACGTGCTGCTGAGCTCTGGAGCCCCCTTCCTAACAATACTCCTCTAGCCCATCTGGGCCACAGGGCCTTTGTACATGCTGGTCGTGCTACTGGAAACAAGCCCTCATCCCTGTATGGCTCAAAAAATGTCCTCTTCAATCACCATTCCTCGTTTACTTCCTTTATAGCACCTCTCACCGACAGAGAACTTCTTTGTGCAGACATTTCTCCCCTGCCCTCCCCAACTGGAGGCCCCACCGGAACAAGGAATTGGACTCGTTCACTGCTGAATCTGCAGCGCGGGCACCCAGGAGGGACGCCTACACACGTGAGCCAGTCCGTGGAGTGAGGAGAACACCCAGGAGACCAGATGTACCCCGAATTCCGTGCCCCAGGGGGAGTCTCACAGGGCACCTCACCACCCTCACAGACACGGGGCAGTGGCCACTCACTTCCTTCAGGTGTCTGTACAAGAGGTCGTTGTTTTTTTCCAAGAATCCTGTAGAGACCAAAACAAAGTTCAAATCAGTGGCTTTTCCCTAAAAAAAGTAGGATTCCACCCAACGGGTGGCAACGAGTGGTCCTTGAGGTGGTTTCCCTGGGTCAGAGCAGATTCTCTGCACCTCAGCCCGGTGGACACTTGCGACGGGTCGTTCTTTGTCGGGGGTCTGTCCTGGGCACCCTGAGGCAGGGCGACCTTCAGCACCTCGGCGGGTCTTGCCCACGGCTTCTCTGGGCATCAACTTTTTCTGACTCGAGAAGCTGGGTCACGAGTCTTCATTCCCCACCAAAGGCCACTGTCCATCAAAACTGGCTCAAAATGACAGGCGTCGGAAAAGACATCAGAAACGCCTGGAGTCCTGGGAACTCACCTGTTTGTTCTGGTAAAACATACGTAACATCAACTCGACCATCTTCACCTCTGCAAGTGCCCAGGTCGGTGGCATTGGGTGTCCTTGGGCGGCCATCTCCACCGCCCGTCTCCAGAGCATTGTGTTTTTGTCCTGGGGCCTGAACCCAGGGGTGCTCTGCCACGGAGTTGCGCCCCAGCCACGTCCCTCCTCCACTTTTAATTCTATTTATTTATTTATCTTTTGGTACAGGATTGAGCTCTGGGCACTGGCCTACTGAGCCCCTCCCCAGCCCTATTTATTTTGTACTTTATTTAGAGACAGGGCCTCCTGCTTTTTTCTGAGGCTGTCTTTGAACTCGTGAGCCTCCTGCCTCAGCCTCCTGAGCTGCTGGGATGACGGCACCCCACCCAGGAGTTAATTTTATTTTTGAAACAGGGTCCCACTAAGTTGCTGAGGCTGGCCTTGAACTTGCAATCCTCCTGCCTCAGCCTCCCAAGTAGCTCTGATTACAGGCGTGGCCACAGCACCCAGCTTCCAGATCTTTCTAAGCATACCCAGTAGAAAGTCTGTAACCATGAAAACAACCACTCTCCATCCCCACCTCAGTAGAAAGGGCCCTCCACCTCCTGTCTCTGTGAATCTCCTGCTCTGGATGCCCCGGGTACATGGGAACACACGGCGGTCGTCCTAAGTGACAAGGCCCATCTGTCCTGCAGCCTGTAAGACTCAACGGTCCCCGCTGTCTGTGTGTGGCCTGTTTTGTTTATCTGTCCCTCCTGGGGTCCCCAGGCTGCTGCTGTGGCGATGCCTCCGTGAACCTGGGTGTACCCAGATATCTGTGTGGACTCCCCCGACAGTCCTCTGGGGCATACGCCACAACTCGCTGTCACCAGGGCCTTTCACCCTGCAGTGCCACAGGGAAATCTATCCTGCAGGCACGATGGGAGAAACTGGGCAGGTGAAAGACACAAAGATGTCAAACAGGTGCTGCTTAGGAAATCAAAAGTGGGACCGGGCAGTGACCGTCTAGTATGGTCTGGTATGTGCTAGGACATGGCCCTCTGGGAGAGGGTAGGCAGCCACTCAAAAGAAGCCCCGCGGAACCTGTGCCACCATAGAGAGTGGGTGCAGGGCCAGGGCAAAAGGCCTGAGTCTGAACCCCAGCTCTACCACTTATGGGCTGTGTGACCCTGGGAGAATTACTCAACTGCTCTGAGCTCAATGTTCTCATAGATTCAAACAGGAGAAATAAACTTATAAAAAGATGCAGAACAAAACCACTGGCACTCACCCTTGGTGCAGTAGGTGACCTCTCCCGCGTAGTGGAGCAGCTGGAACTCCATCCAGCCAATCCTCTTCCGGCCTTTGGGCCCCGCCAGCTTACGGCTGCAGGACAGACCAGACAGGACTGAGCACAGAAGCCACCGGCGAGCTCTCCAGGAACATGACAGTCCGCACGGACAGCTGACCCCATCAGAGCCCAGGAGCTTACACTCTGCTACAGACCAAGGGCTCTCTATAAGTAGACATAAATAAGCCCCAAGGAATAAAAATCCTCAAGCAAGCCACAGAAACACATCCTAAAAATCACATCACCAGCGTGGTGGCACACACCCATGATCCCAGCAACTCAGGAGGCTGAGGCAGGAGGATTGAAAGTTGGAGGCCAGCCTCAGCAACTTAACGAGGCACTGCCTCAAAAGTAAAGGACGGAGGGCATGTCCGGCATCTCTGTCTCTGTCTCTGTGTCTCTCACACAAAAAAATTTCTATTTTTCCCCAATGATAATGAAGAAACAATGTCACTCTCTTACATTTTTATGTCATACAGAGACAAAAACACTCATGAAACATCATGTTTCCGGTTCCAGTGATTCATAATTTCTGGCAGCTTGTTCTTGAAACTGGACACAACAGCTGCACATGCATCCTAAGTGTGTAGATCCGTGAGGTTTTGCAAACACCAGACCAAGAAACAGAACACCACCGGCCCCTGACACCTCGCCAGGGCCCTGCCTGGCCCAGCCCGGCCCAGCCCGGCCCAGCCCGGCCTCCATGGCACACGTGGGTCTCAGTTTCTCAGTTTGGAGGCGTGGGATTCTACAATGAGTGCTCTTCTGTCTGCTCCTCCTGGTCACGTTTGCATGATGCCCCTGACGTCATTGCCCAGGGTTCTAGATCTTCAACTAAATGGTGGCGATATATCTTCCCATTTGTGTCTGGGCCATAATTTATTTTCCCTTCTACCTTCACTTGCAATCTGTCATCCTCACAGCGTTCCACAGAGTTCTCGTGAACCCACGGCCCTGCACCAGGCCTTTCCTGCTGCAGATACCGCACCAGGTGACCTATGTAGACCTTCACTGTGAGGTGTGGCAGGGGAACACAAACGCAGGGCCATTCAGGTGCTTGCCCCACGTCATGTGGCCGGGCAGGGAGTCAAAACCAGGCCTGTGTGTGTGTGTGTGTGTGTGTGTGTGTGTGTGTGGTGTGCGCGTGACTGAATCCAGGTCCTCACACATGCTTTCCTACTGAGCTACAACCCCAGGCTAAAGCACATGTTCTTAAATCCCCTTCTTTGTCTCAAAGATGAAGTCAAATTTTTAATTTCTCTTCTGGGATCCTAAAAATTTTTTTTTTTTTTAAAGTACCAGGGATTGAACACAGGGGTGCTCCACCACCGAGCCACATCCAGAGCCTTTTTTATTTTTTATTTTATTATTATTATTCTTTAACTTTGAGAAAGAGTTTTACTCCATCACCGAGGGCCTCACTAAGTTGCTGAGGCTGGCCTTCAACTAGCGATCCTCCTTCCTCAGCCTCCCAAGTCTCTGGGAGTACAGGCATGCGCCTCCACACCTGCTAAAACTCTGCACCTTCTAATCGGCACGATCCCGATGTGGATCCCCGGGTGGAACAGATCAGATTTCCACACGTCACTGATGTGTTTCATCCACAGTTTTAAGAGACACTGTTTCAGGCACAGAGAATGCGGGTCCCAAACGTAGCCACCCAAACAAGGTGCAGAACCTCCAAAGCACCCCGCCCGGGACTCACGGCTGCACTGGGCCAGGACCCCCGCCCACGCCCCCCGGCCCACGTACGTCTGGAAGTGCGCATGCTCGCCCACCGTCTCCTCCAGTTTCTCCAGGAAGCTCAAGTCCGTGGCCGGGCCAGGGCGCAGGCACTCTTCATCCTTCAAGAGAAAACGAGGCGCTCACGCCCTTCCCCCTCCCAGGAGGCTGTCATCTGCCCTCACCCCCACCCCCGCCCAGACCAGGAGGACATTCTGGCAGGAAGGGGGCCTTCGTCCCAGGGCTCGGCCTCCACTGTCACCATGGCCCCCTTACTTAAGCACTTGACCTCACTTTTTTCCTCCCTGATGACTTAGTTCCTTATAGTCCTGGGGGTTTAGTGCTGGGGGGTGAACCCAGCCCAGGGCTGCTCCACCACAGAGCTAACCCCCAGCCCTTTCTCTTTGGAGACATGCTCCAAGTTGTTGAGGCTGGCCTTGAACTTGCAATCCTCCTGCCTCGGCCTCCCGAGTAGCTGGGATGACAGGTGTGGCCACCGCGCTGGGCTCATTTTCCCTCAATCAGTCATCACCGACCAAGAACAACATCTGCACAGACCCCGAACCAGGAGCAAAGCCCTTATGAAGACAGTGAGACCTCCCCATTCCTCAAGCGGCGTCATTCCTTACATTTGGTCCTCAATGATGCCACCACCTAATTGACCATCTTAAAAACAAATCAGCCTTGGAGCTGTTATCACAGCCACAAACCTGGGTCACAGGACGGTGAGTCGACTTATACCAAACACATTTCTTTTATTTTTTGGCGGGGGGATTCCAGGGATTGACCTCAGGGCCACTCAACCCCTGAGCCCCATCCCCAGCCCCATTCTGTGTTTTATTTAGAGACAGGGTCTCACTGAGCTACTTAGCGCCTCACTGTTGCTGAGGCTGGCTTTGAACTCATGATCCTCCTGCCTCAGCCTCCTGAGTCGCTAGGATAACTGGCGTCCACCAATGTGCCCAGCAAGTGTATTTCTAAGAGTTCATTACAGCTCCTCTCTGAGGAAAGGGCTGTTATGACTAAGCCCCATTTAAAGATGATGAAATTGAAGCTCAGAGAGGTTAGGACACCTGCCTAATGTCACACAGTAAATCTATGTGGGACCCACGTTCATGGCAGCCACACTCACCAAGCCCTGCTGTGCTCTAGTATGCTGGGTTCCCAGGGCAGTTGGTGGCTGTGTCATGGTGTAGGGTCAGGAGGGCAAAGGGGACCCATTATTTTCATTGAAAAGGAAGCAAAAGATGACCCCAAATGACAAGTAAGGCAAAGAGGGTTGTTGTGGATGCCTTTAGAATGTGTTTAAAAATCGATGCCTGAATTTGACTAATTGTGGATCTGAGATCACCGACATTCCCATAAATTGCAAGAGTCAAAACACCATCAGAAGCCCATTCCCAGGACCCTTGACTGAGGACCCGTCACCATCCTTTGCAGAGCTTTCCTCTACATTTCCTGGATTCCTGCTTTGTATGAGCAAGAAAGCAGCCCCTCTCCAATTGCCACTCCATTTTCTGGTACTATAACAATATACCTGAGGCAGCGTGCTTTATAAAGAAAAGAGGTTTAGTTAGCTCCCACTTCTGGAGGTCTGAGGGCAGGGTGTTGGCCTTGGCTCAGCTCTGGGGAAGGCCCATGGTGGATGCATCATAGTGGCAGGGGTGGATGACAAGACAGGAGGCCAAAGAGGGACCAGGCAACAACTAACCAGGTCCATGCCAGAACTTCAGCTATTCCTTCCAAGAGCCGTGCCCTCAATGACCTCATTATCCCCTGAGAGGCTCCACCTCACGGTGCCGCCACCTCCCAGCATCAGCATGCTGAGCACCAAGCTCCCAGCACACGAGCCCTTGGGGTCTCACTCAAACTCACTGGACCACAGCAGCCCAGACACCTGTCTAAACCGGGTCCCAGCTCTACAGCGACGGAAGACATCTGTCTCGAGGTCTTTCCTGCCGTCTCCCCAAGGGCAAGAGCTCAGCAGAAGAGCTCAGCCTGCTCCTTCTGGACCCTGATGGGTTGAAGCTCAGAGAGGTTAGGACACCTGCCTGATGTCACACAGTAAATCTACGTGGGACCCAGGAGAACAGGAGCCCAGCCGACCCGCGTTTCTCACCAGAATGGAGATGATCCCTTTGTGCCTCTCCTCCACCAAATCGCAGATGATCTTGTTGTTGAAATACTGAATGGGCTCCCACTAGAACGACAAAGGAGAGCGTTCCCCAGGGGGACGTGGCGGGGAGGCTCCATGGCTGAACACACGGTGCAGAAATGGTTTTCGGAACCTGATTTTTACATCCACATGTCACAAGGGGGGACCTTCTGAATATCAAAGTGGCCTCCCAGGCCATCGGCAGAGGAGGCCGGAAGACGACCCTTGACCAGGACAGTCTCCGAGGAAACCTCCGTTCTCAGGGAAATGGTTTTTATTCTAAGCTGGATCAAGAAATCAAATGAGGAGAAAATAGCAAAATGGTTACCTCGATCCCTTCCATCTCATATTCTGCCTGTTCTGCCTTCAGGGTCCTCTCTATTAACAGCTGTTGGAGCTTCTCATTGCAGTAATTTATACAAAACTGTTCAAAACTAGAGATGCGAGGGTTGTGAGTGACTCACGTTAGGCAAGTAGAGCAGTGTTCACAAAGGGTGCTGACTGGTTTTTAAGGGTGCATTTTTTTTTTTTGGTACCAGGGATTGAACTCAGGGGCACTCGACCACGGAGCCCCCTCCCCAGCCCTAGTTTGTATTTTATTTAGAGACAGGGTCTCACTGAGTTGCTTAGGGCCTCACTTTTGCTGAGGCTGGCTTTGAACTGGCGATCCTCCTGCCTCAGCCTCCCCAGCCGCTGGGGTGACAGGCCTGCGCCACGGCACCCAGCTAAGGATGCTTTCTTAATACAGAGAAAAATAGCAAAGCCCTTATCCATAAAGTAATTGACTAAATAAGTCCTGAGAGTCAAGTGGAAACAGGGCTACGTTTTCCTCGGCTGTTTCGCTTCCGGAACAGTCCGTGATGGGGGGCTATGCAAACCTGGAGACTTTCTGGAAAATCAGTTCCAGTAACACGAAGGTGACTAAAGCCTCAGTGACAACTGAGAGAGGAGCCGGGGGGAGGACAGACGCGGGAAGTGAGCAGACTCACCCGTTTTTGTCAAAGACCTCGAACCCATAGATATCCAGCAATCCAATCACGGTTTTTTTGGTGACATCCTGGTTAAAAACACGAGCCATTAGTGGTGAGCGCTGACTCTGGATGGTCAGCGTGTGTTGGCCCGGGTCCCTGCACTGAGATCCAGTCTCCACTGTGAGGTGCTCAGTGGGACCAGGGGCAGGTGACGGGCGCCAGATGAGGTCTCCAGGGTCGGGCCCCGTGACTGAATCCTGGTGGCTTTGCAGGAGGAGAGACTAGAAGAGACCAGGGCACTGCTCTGCCTCTGGCCACGCGGTGCTCCCCACAGCCTTGGGATCCTGCCAGCAAGGCCACCCAGGTGTGGGCCCTGAGCCTCCAGACCAGGAAGCTAAACAGAACTCTCGTCCTCATCCAGTGTCCGGCGCCAGGTTGTTCATGAGAGAACAGAACTTTAGGTTTTCCCCTGGTGATTCCCAAAACCCTCCGGCTGCCCCCAAAGCTGGACTCAGCCATGAAGCTTCTCTCGCCTCCACAGTGACTCCTAGGAAGACCCCTGGGGACCTGCACCCACTCCCGCCTGCAGCCTGCCCAGATCCCACGGTGGCTTCCCCGTCCGCCACCCGGGAAGTGACACCTGCCCCTTCTTGTTCAATCAAGAAAGAAAACAGACAAGGACCTAAAGACGGCCCAGGGGATCCCCATTCAGGTGAGGGGACAGGTGGCACGGGTGTCATTTTACAAAGGACAAAGTGCCACCTGGAAAGGAGAGATGATTAAAGATAACGCTGTACTTCGATCGTGCCCCTCCAAAGTCCACGTGTTGGAAACACGATCCCCAAATTCACGTCACAGGCATTTTGAAGTAATCAGGATTCTATGAGGTTCCCATGATGACATCCGTGGCTTTGTAAGAGCAAGAGAGAGAGAGAGACCCACGCTCACGTGCACACACACACACACACAATTCAACTTACAATGGGAACGGGGCAGGTGCTTGCCTACTATGTGCAAGGCCCTGCATTTGATTCCCCAGCACCACAAAAAAAATAAATAAATAAAATAAGAAGGAGACATGCCCTAAACTTGAGTCTGAAGAGCAGCTGTGTATTTTCACATAGACTCAAACACACTGCTGGGAAAAGCCTGGCAGGGTGGTGCTCGCCGGTAATTCCAGCTACTCAGGAGGCTGAGGCAGGAGGATGGCAAATCCGAGGCCAGCCTCCGCAACTTAGCGAGAGCCTGTCTCAACAGTAAGAGATTAGAAAGGACTGTGCGCAGCTCAGCGGCAGAGAGCCCCGGCCTCAGTCCCCAGCACCAGAAAGAAAATCAAATACAGACGCGTGGAGTGGAGCAGGCCGATGCGTGTGTCCTCGCACACCCAAAGCCACCTGGCACGCGGCACCTGCTGTGCGCCTCACTGTGGGCCACGCCTGTGCGTTCCTGTGAGCCTACTGTGCGCCTGACAGGGGCCGTGAGGACGTGGGGGGACAGCACCCCCCTCCGGGAGCTCGCTGGCCGTGCTCAGTCTGTACCCACGAGGGTCAGGGGCAGACCTTAGGCGCGTCGCCCGAGACGCGTGACTCACCTTGTTCACCAGGGAGGAGTTGATCTTGTTGACCAGCCACGTGAAGGTCCGTCCATACACGGCCTTGGCCATGGCGTCCCTGGCGTAGACAGAGTGTCCTGGGGTCAGCGGGCAGATCACCTGAGGTGACAGAACAACGTCCCCGCGCTTCCACACCAGCCTCTAACGTGGGCACTAGGGGAGGGGGATGCCACACCCTATGGCTCCTGGTCACCTGGTGGCCATCTCCCAGGCGGTCACTGTGTGCCAGGCACCGTGCTGGGCGACTAAGACCCGGCCACCCACACCCACCCTGGGTAGGCTCCCAGGGCCACTGGGGCAGGGGAGGGGAGGGCTGGTGGGACAGGTGGGTGACAAGTGCCAGAAGAAGGACCATGTGGTGCTTGGAGGTAGAGGAGGGATAATCAGGGAACTTCCTGGATGCAGGGGTCCAGTGGCCCCAGAGCCTACGAGAGGAAGTGAAGGGAACAGCAGAAGGAACAGCATGTGCAAAGACCCCGGGAGGGAGGCCAAAGGGAGTTGGAGGCCTGAGCACAGCGCGGTGGCCAGGGGGGCTGGGGGGTGAAGCAGGAGGGCCTGGTGGGCGGGGGTCCCAGGTAGCCTCCGGAGGCTGGGTCATGCTGTTGGCCAGGGCAGGCAGCCATGATGGGGTGGGCAGGTGCGTCTGTACCCAGAGCCATCGTTACCTCCTCTGTCTTGGCTTCGATCTTTCGGTGGGTGAGAGCGTCCAGAAGGACAGATGGACAGACCCCCAGGAGCTGGACAGAAGGAACCCAACATGGCATTCAGGAACTCAGTTTTCCTCACTCAGAGAGTCCACCGTGTGTCCAGGCCCTGGGTCAACTGCCCTGACTCCTCGTTGTGTTTTAGGGCAAAATGGACAGACAGGATCTGTGCGCTCTGCACCCCGACCAGCACCAGCAGAAGGCCCAGGGGCTCCAGGCACCGGCCAGCGGGGCCCAGCGGGGGGCATCCACCCGCCTGGTGCCCCCTCCGCCCCTTCAAAGGACTGAGTCCCCCTCTGTCCTCTTGGAAAGAGGAACGTCACCTTGGCGATCCACTTGATCTCGTGAGTGTCGGGGACGGTGGCACAGCCCTGGGGGTCCTCCTCAAAACAGATGTTCCCCAGGTGCAGGACACTGGCGATAATGCCAAAGAGATTCTAGGAGCGCGGGAAGTGGGGGGACAGAGGCCGGGGGGGACGTCAGTGGCCACCTCACTGGTCAACAGGCAGCAGAGATGTCCCCAAGAAACAGCCCCCTCCCGGCTCTAGGCCAGCCCTGCTCCCCAGGAACGGCCCTGGGGCCACGTCTGGGCTGGAGAAGCGCCTGGGGGGGGGGTCGTGACCAAGAAACAGAAACGTGGACCTTTATGTCTCTAAAATAAGCCACTTGTGTAAAATAGGTTCTAAAAACATTTTACAAAACAACCCTCCGCCAGGGGACCCTTTCCTTTCCAATGCCGTGGTCTCCGTTAATTTTTTTTTTTAAACCTACCCCATTCTCGACCTTGAAAGATTAACAGTCAAAAGGAAAAAATAAAAGAAAAACCAGTTCCCATTTGTTCCAAAACAGGAATGCAGGTAAACGAGATCCTGTAATTCTATGGGGTCTAAATTATCGAGACTGGACTTAACTGGGGGGAGAAGCGCCCGGTCCCTCCTTCCACACAAGGTCGGGAACACTAGGAGGTTGTCACATGAAGTTCCACACGTCCAGCTCACGCTGGGATTTCAAAGCAGCCATGACTGGATGTCAGTGGTTTCTGTCCCCACGCACTATGTGGGACATAACTGTGCTGAGGACCGAGTTTCACCGTGTATGTGAAGTCCGTGTCCTGGGCACCCTTGTCACTGGGCTGAGTCTGGCCACCCTGGGTATGACCCCACACGTCGTGCCTCAGTGCCAGGAGAGAACACCAGGCCCGTACCTCGAGGTCGGCTTTGGTAAAATCGATGACAGAAAAGGCATTGGAAACAGTTTTCCAGTCGTTCTTGTCATTAAGAGATGACTCCTTGGCACGATGACCCTGTGACAAAATTGAGCCACATCATGGCATTTGAAGGACAGTGAAGCACAAACACACACCTATTCCTAAACCAAAATGATTCTCTCTCCAAACATGCAAAAGCTATTTCCATAAAGGATGGAATTGAAAGCAGATAGACTTTACCACTCCAGCATAAGGTAATTTGCTGACTGATACTTTTTTCAAATTTATTTGGAATTTTATTTTAAATCTCTAAGGCCTAGTGCAGCTGCACACACCTGCAATCCCAGTGACTTAGGAGGCTGAGGCAGGAGGATCACAAGTAGGAGGCCAGCCTCAGCACCTTAGTGACGCCATGAGCAATTTAGTGAGACCCTGACTCAAAATTAAAAAAATAAAAAGGGCTGGGGATATGGCTCAGTGGTGAAGCTCCCCTGGGTTCAATCCCCAGTATCATCAACCAATCAATCAACCACAATTCTGAGAAAATTTGCAAAGTTCCATAGCCGTGGAATACCTTTTCCTATGTGTTTGTAAACCGATTTTTCCCTGTCGTTTTTGCTAAACAAATGGAAACCATTTGTCTTAATAAATATGTGCTGAAACATGTGGGGAAACTATGTTGCTTAAATTCAGAATCAATCTTGACTCACTTAGGAATTTCCAGAAAACCCTCACTGCAAGATTAGATGGAAGGAGGTCCTCACTCAAGGAAATGATAGTTTGGCTTTTAAAGAAATACAGATTAGCCAGGTGTGGTGGCGCATGCCTGTCATCCCAGCAGCTTGGGAGGCTGAGGCAGGAGGATGGCGAGTTCAAAGCCAGCCTCAGCAAAAGCAAGGTGATAAGCAACTCAGTGAGACCTGTCTCTAAATCAAATACAAAATAGGGCTGGGGCTGGGGCTGGGGCACCGTAGTTGAGCATCCCTGAGTTCAATCCCTGGTGCCAAAAGAAAAAATAAAGAAACACAGATTATAAAGACATTTCCATGTCATGGAATCTCACTAGCAAAGATGTGAAGAGACTTTTCTCACTAACCCTGGGAGTTGTTTCTTAGATAAGCAACAGATGGACGACCGATGTCTCGATTTTAAGAGAAAACATTGCAGACAAGTGCTTTTCATTATTTTTCTTTTATGCTCTGGGGTGTTCCCAGTTTCCTGATTGTCTGAAGATTTATTATGGGAAAAGATTTCCTTGCCGTGTGGCGCAAAGCTGTCACACTGTGAAAATCTCCACCCGCGACTCAGTCACAAGTACAGTCAGCCCTCCGTATCCACAAGCTCCTCATCCGCAGACTCAACCAGCCCCAGATCAGAAATAATAGAGAAGAACCAGTAATAACAACTTTTTTTCCTTGTCATTATTCCCAAAAACAATATAGTATTTCATGGATGTACACAGCATCCGCCTCGTACTGGGAAGTATAAGTGACCTGGAGATTATTTAAAATATAAGGGAGGATGTGCTATCTGTGGGCTCTATGCAAATACGTTGTCATTTCATATAGGACTTGAGTGTCCTGGCTTTTGTTATCTGTGGAGTCCTGGAATCCGGACCCTGTGGATACGGAGGGATGACTGTGTCCCTTCCCCCTAAGGGCAAAGTCTGGGCAAGTCACTTCCTCACTGGACACCTGTGAGTTTGGAATCAGAGAAAATACATGGCAAAGGAAAGCCAGACATTTTTCCAAAGTTATAGGACATCATGATATCGATAAAAATGATAGCCAATCGCTAGAACCATTTCCAAAGCCATCAGGTCTGGAGGAACTAATACGGCCAGGAAAAAAGAAAAATCTGTAGGCATAAAGACATGATAAATTCTAAACAGGGGTGACGTGATTATTGAAGGGCTAGAGAAGCCTTGGGGGAAATGATGAATGCCCACATGTATTTTTATAATTCAGTCTGCTCTGACTGTGCCTTGAAAATCCAAGCATGAAGCAGCCATTGACTGTCAGAAAAAATAAGTGACCTAGAGACCATCTGAAATCTACGGGAGGATGGGAAAGAGCTGAAAAAAGAGACAGTTGATGTGTCCTTCACTCTAAGAATTAGTTCAAGGTTGATGACATGGAAATGGAGATGGTGGAATTCTTTTATCTTTGTTAGTTCCGTTTTTCAAGGGAAACTTTGGTCAAGATTTCTTTGCCCCCCCAAGATTTCTATGCAACACTGGTCTTTGTTTATGAGATTCTCTTTATCAGGTCTCGTTGTGTCTCAAGTGATGCTCCAGTCTGCGCTCTGCAAAATGGACCTCAGTTCAAAGCCAATAAAAAAAAAATATCTTGGTGCTGGGCGCGGTGGTGCATGCCTTTGATCCCAGCAGCTTGGGAGGCTGAGGCAGGAGGATCATGAGTTCAAAGCCAGCCTCAGCAAGTTAGCGAGGCCCTAAGCAACTCAGTGAGAGCCTGTCTCTAAATAAAAAATAATTAAAAAGCCTGGAGATGTGGCTTGAAGGTTAAGCACCCCTGGGTTCAATTCCTGATACAAAAAAAAAAAAAAATCTTGGGGAAAAAAAAAATCAACGCTAGCAACATCAAATGCTACCTATGCAACCCGGGCATTCTAGAATGTTAGCACAGCAAACATTCTAGAATGTTTGTAAACATTAAAGTAAAGTCAGTAAAGTAAATCAATAAATCCAGTAAAGTCAATGCTGCAAAATCAAATTCTGAATTCACTAGGATTGCTAATAGGGATGGCCTGAGCTATGTCCTCTAAGGTAGCGTGTTCACTTTGCTGCTAACAGTTCTCTAAGGTGCAAGGCAGGAGGCGGGGAAAGCCCTTCTCACAAGGAGATTAGAAGCAGAACGAGGCGGAATAGGCTGTGGGGTACAGAAAGACGGTGAATTTCCATTGCTTCTAGACCAGCCGTTCTCCCCTTGGCTGTGAGCTTCATCACAGGGGACTATTTCACTGTCGTCCCCCCACCCCCCTGTAGTGCTGGGGATCAACCCAGGGCCTCACCTATGTACGCTCCACCTTGAGCTACGTTCCCAGCCCTGGGCAGCCCCCAGTTCTGCTAAATGCAGACCTCGGGATGCGGGTAAGACTCAGGCCTCTGTGTATTTTGCAGAGTTACTTTTGCAGTCCTGGGGCTGATCCCAGGGCCTGGTGTGTGCTAGGCAAGTGCTTGACCCCGGAGCTACCCACCACCCCCAGCTTAGGCATCTGTGTTTCTAAAAGATTTCTTAAGGGATTCTAACTTTAGCGAGGTGGAGAAGCCCTTGCCTAGACGCGAGGGTCTAGCGGTAGGTAGCTCACTGGGATCAAGTCAAGTAACCAGCCCGCAGCCACATCCAGGGGGGAGAGACAGTTCTTGAGCATCCTGCAGCAGCCCCCACAGACACCCCAAGTCCCCTCGTCCACAGGGCTCCCAGGGTCCCCAAAGCCAGGCACTGGACCGTCCAACCTGCGAGAGGTACTTATACAGCCGGGGGTCTCGCTCGAGGCCCAGGTGAGCCAGGCGATCGGCTTCTCCGCCGGCCAGCAGCTGGTAGAAGATGTGGAAATTCCGCTCACCCTGGTTCTGATAGACGACTCGGGACTTTTCAATCAAGTAACTGATGATGTGCCCGCCGACGGGAATGCCCTGGGAAACGGAATCAGAATAGGGCAGTGACCACTCAAGCCACTGGTGTCCGCTGGTGCCCAGATGTTTTAAATGTGGAGAAAGTCCCGGCTCTCCAGCTTCTAGTATTCATGTTTCCTGGGCTCTACTTTAAAAGATTTCTGCCTGCTCCAAGGTCACAAGTACATTCTCTGTTTTAGTCTAGAAGCATGATTGTTGCTCTGTTGGTGTCTAGGACCCTGGTCCATCACTGCTGGGATTCTGATGTGCATGGAGTGAGGCAGGGGTCCAAGATCTCCCTTTCGTATTGATATCCCAGTCGATCAGCATCATTTACTGGGAACGTGATCCTATCCCCACTGAATCACAAGAGTGCTTTGGCCACAAGTATGTGTGTGTGGGGGGGAGATCTTTCTGGACTCTATTCTAGTCCACTGGCCTCTATAGCCATCCTCATGTCTTAATTATCCACATTGTCATACTTACTATTTTAAGTAATGCATCCAATAAAGCCTCTTTTTTTCAGACCATATATAGAATTCTTGCTAATTAATAAGAAGGAACAAACAACCCAAATAAAATTGAGCTAAATACTTGAAACAGGCATGGTGGTGCACACCTGTCATCCCAGTAGCTCAGGAGGCTGAGGTAGGAGGATTGGGAGTTCAAGGCCAGCCTCAGCAAAAGTGAGGTGCTCAGCAACTCAGTGAGGCTGGCTCTAAATAAAATATAAAATAGGGTTGGGGGTGTGGCTCAGTAGTAAAGCACCTCTGAGCTCAATCCTCAGGACCAAAAACAAACCAAAAAACCCTCAATAATTCCACTTTTGAATATCTACCAACATGAATAAGTTCTTCTACTTATTAAAAGAAATGTGCAAGGATGTTCAGAGCACTGTTTGCAATAACTTCCAATTGCAAACAACCCAAAAGTTCATCAACAGGAGAACAGACAAACTGCAATATATTTGTACAATTAAAAAATGAGCAGCTCCTATCAGCAAGAACATGGACAAATCTATAGAATGTCGATTGAGACAAACCAGATATAAAATAGAACATACTGTATAACTCCACTGATATCCAGTTCAAGAACCAGCCACATGAATCTGTGATTCTAGGGTCAGGATACTGGTCACCCTGGGGAAGGGGGTTGTTATGGGAGAAGTTTCTGGATGCTGGAAATTTTAATGTCTTCATCTGACCGGAAAATACACGGCTAGATAGAAGTGCAAAAATTCATGGGGCTATCCCCAAGATTTGTGTCCTCTCCAGTTTAGGGCCTATGTGTTGAGCTGTTATGAATTTTAAAATATGCACAATTATCAAGTGTCTTTCAAAGTCTATGCACGCTTCAGGCAGGACCACGCACCAGCCTTAGGAGAAGGACAGCCTGGGTGTTTCCATGGCTGACTTGCACCCCCTGAGAGCTGGTGTCCTTGAGAAACTTGTCTACCCCTGTGCAATAGCCCCATGTCAATTCTGGGTGCAAGGCAAGCATACTCATTCGGGATGCTCGTTCACTTATGTACCATCAGTGACGACTTTGGCAAAACCTCAGAGATGAATCGTGGCCAAAGAAGCTGTGTGACTTGCAAAGTCTGAAACATTTCCTCTCTGGCCCCAAGAAAGTTTGCTGACCCCCGCCCCCTCACAGGTAGGCACACCTACATTGTACGTTGCTTACTTTTATTTTCAAGCTTTAATGTCATCACACTGGCACCTGGTGTAGTACCAAGACCAGCCACGTTATATAAAGCTGTGTTCATTTGCCGTCCCCACGGTATAATGCTTTGTGTGAATACACCACAATTTAACTAGCCATTCTCCTGTTGGTAGACATCAAGTCCTCTCAAAACAGGACTGCTGGCCGGGCGCAGTGGCACAGGCCTGTCATCTCAGCGGCTGGGGAGGCTGAGGCAGGAGGATGGAGTTCAAAGCCAGCCTCAGCCAAAGCGAGGCCCTAAGCAACTCAGTGAGACTCTGTCTCTAAGTAAAATACAAAATAGGGCTGGGGATGGGGCTCAGTGGTCGAGTGCCCCTGGGTTCAATCCTTGGTATCCAAAAGACAAAACTAACTAAATAAAGGGTTGGCACACATGGGTAATAGGGATGTGTATTTCAAGTGGCAAAATGACAGAATGGAGAAGAGCAGCCCGCGGAGGGTGCAGGTCAGCAGTGCAGACAGACGGGCGAGCACTGTCCCTAGATCTTTCACCTGTTGGAGCCGCCTTCCCACCTCAAGGTACCGCGGGTTGGGTCTCCTCCTGGCAGAATAAGAGGACCCCACCCACCCGTAATAGGAATCCCGAGTACCTGAAAGTCAAACTGGATGTCCATGTATTTTCCAAACCGGCTGGAGTTGTCATTCCGGAGTGTTTTGGCATTTCCAAAAGCCTTGGGGCACAGAGTGTCATGCACTGTCATTTAAACCCATCTTGCTTGTCAAATTCCTGGCCCCAAATAACATGCTCATCATGAAAACAGAGTGGGGGAGGGACACACCGTCTCCTTCTACGAGGGAACTGCCACCCACAGAGGACTTCTTGCCAACAATGGCAGGGGAAAGGTCTGTCCAGAACCCACCCAAGAATACATTAGAAATGGCCTAAGGAGAGGTGCACGGGCCCTGCTTGCTCAGCTGACATTCCCCAACACCAGACCCCTTCTCATAACAAAATTGTTTGGCTCAAAGGGTCTACCGGGAAATTCCCGCAGCCAGAAACGTCTCTTATATCAAAAGCACAGGAGAGATGGACGTGCACGAGATCACCTAGCAAGTGCAGGAAATGGAATCAGAGGGATGATGGCTGTGATAAGGAACATTAGCTGGGTGCAGTGATGCACGCCTGTCATCCCAGCAGCTGGGAGGCTGAGGCAGGAGGATCAAGTTCAAAGCCAGCCTCAGCAACAGGGAGGCCCTAAGCCACTCAGTGAGACCCTGTCTCTAAATAAAATACAAAATAGGGCTGGGGATGGGGCTCAGTGGCTGAGTGCTCCTGAAATCAATCCTCAACCCCGAAAAACAAATATATTAATAACAAAGACCACTGGTAACTCTGCGGGTACTTTTTGTGCATTCAACTGTGTAACCCTCAAACCCTCTTAAGAGGCAGGTGCTATGACTAGGACCGTCCTATGGATGGGTGAGAGGCCCTGGGATCCCTGCTGAAGTTACTGGTGACTGTCCACCCTGGATTAGGATCCAAGCTGGCCAGATGCCCTCAGCGTGACACTGCGGGTGAGAGCCCTTTCCTCAACAGTGACCTGCCCACTTCGACTGTCCTGCCTAGGCAGAGGAACTCTGCCTGGAACTCCCCTCCGTGGTCCTCAGAGACTGGCCACTTACCTCCAGCACTGGATTGGAGAGCAGCAGCCTGTCTCGGGCTATCTGTAGTGACTCGGTCATTGGGCAGGTCACTGCGAAATACTGCAGGATCTTCTTGGAGGCCTCGGTTTTCCCCGCCCCACTCTCTCCAGAGATGAGGATGAAGTGGTTGTTGAGCTCCGAGCACATCATGCGGTAAGCGTTGTCCGCTATGGCGTAGCTGGAGAGGGAGGGGCCGAGACAGGGTGGTTTCGGTGCTGTTATCCCCTGGCAGTGACAAAGGACCCTGCCTCCGGGAAGCCACGCCCTACTGTGGGTACCAGGACACTGAGCTGAGCCGGACAGTCATGATCCAGTGACTGATGGAACACAAGGAGTGGTCAATTTTAAAACTCACCCAACGAAAGGGGTAAAGTGAAGGATCTCAGCAGTGGTGGGAATATGTTTCCAAATTTACCAAGTATATTTACCTGGTGCTGGGGATGGAACCCAGGGTCCCATGCATGCTAGGCAAGTGCTCTGCCATTGGACTACAACCCTGACCCCACCAATTTAATCATTTTTTTTTAAAATCCACCTACAGTTTGTATAAGAATAAGCCGGGTACTACGTGACGTCCCCAGGAGACGTTCTAATAACTATAGGTGGAAATAGGATCTTGTCTGAATATCAAATAATTCAAGAGATAGAATATCATCTCTTTCCCTCGAAGCCTAAAGTAGTCAGAATGTAGAGACAGGAGACCAGTGAGGTCTGCAAACTTCTGCAATAACTTCAGGACAAGAGGTGGAGGAATCAGAGGGCCTTCATCTCCAAAATCAGAGAGAGCACAGATGGGGAAGGGCTCCCAAGAGCTGGACGCGGTGGGGGAGGCAGAAAGGTTTATCAGCATCGTGGGAAGTCGGAAAACTGAATTAAAGACAAGTGGGGGGAGAACAGAAGCATCAGCCCAGAAGTCGACCAGAGAGAGAAGAAATTCAGCCCAGCCTGCAAGCACCTGTGGATGAGGGTGGCCTGCTGAGGTCCCTCCCAGTGGACATCCTTAGCCTCCCTGATTCTCAGGCACCCACAGATGGCCCTGTAAGCAGCCCACGTCCAGAGAAGACACCGCTCTGGCCGCACTCGGGGTTCCCAACCTTGACACAAAGATTCCATCTCTCTTTAAGCTGAGATTCCAAAATGGCTGTGACATTCTAATGCTCTGACTTATTTCCCACGTTAACGACCATGGAGGAAGAACCTCAGGACAGGCATGGAGGGTTTGAATGGGTGGACGGTGGGTGGATGGATAGAAGGATGGACGGAGGGTTGGCAGAAGGGAGGGGGCCGGGGAAACGCGTGGCTGTTACTCACACATGCGGCGGCAGCTCAAAGAAACTGACCCCTTGGTAGAGTTCCATCTGGCTCACGGTGTAGATCCCCAGCTCCTGGTAGGGATTCACAGACACCAGGAGCGTCCCGATGTAGGTCTGGAGGAAGGGACCACAGGACAAGTGAGCAGCTCCACCAACCAAAGACGGTCGCACATTATGCTCCCCTTGTTTGCTCGGGGCTGGGGCGGGGGCTCGGCAAATGGGACAGGTGGGGCCTCTGCGGCCCGGGGTCTGTTTGGGGAGGGCTGGGAGACAGCTGGGGTCAGGGAAGTGTCGAGAAGGTGGCTGACGGGTAGGAACTGAGGGCGTGGAGACTCAGGAAGGCCACGTCAGCTCGTGGGCTGAGAGAGACATCAGAGTGAACTCCAAGACGCAGAGCTAGTGGTGAATGAGCAGAGACGGTGTCCAGCTGACGGGCAGGCGTGGCTGTCCCCACCACTGAGAGCTGGAGCTGTCATGCAAATGAGCAGCTTTATGAGGAGCACCGGAGCTGGTCCAGGCCTCACCAAGTCCCCCCGGATGTGCAGGGCCACAGCACCTACCAGCCTTCTGAACCGGGGCGAGGTACCCCTACACCAGGCCGGCTTCTCCAGACTTGGGTGTCAGCCTCTATCCCTACCCCAATGTTCAAGTACTTACATTTTCAAGGTAGCCACTGACCTAAGACTAATTAGAGACCAAAAAGCTCTAAGATCTTTTACAGAAAAGATGACTATTTGGGCTCCTTTGAAAACGCATCCGGTATTTTCAGATGCTGAGTTGGTTGGTGTCAACGCTGGAGGTACCAAAGCTCTGGGTAGGACCCGGCTCCAAGGGTTCTAACCGACGCTTCTAATCTCCAGGACAAACTCGAACAGAACCGAAACAAAGAAGAGGGTTCCGACTAAAATTTGCATCATTCAAATCATAGAAACCTGGTCTCAGGGGTGGAAGATTGTCCTGGAATCTATCTGTTTAAATTGGTCATGAAAATCCTATCATCCCATTTGTCCTTCATGTGAGGTTATTTCTCCTTTGCTTTTATAGAAAATTAGCTTGATTTTTTCCCTTTTGTACAATTAAGGGTTCTAATTCTGAAAGTTGGAAGCTATAGAATATATATTCTAAGGAACACCTTGTTCATTTCTTCTGAAAAAATTTGGTTTCAACAGCACATTACGAACTAGCTACGAGACACATTATTTTTAGACTTCGTCTGATTATCTCATTTACTCTTAACAAAAGCTAATAAAATCTCAAAAAAAATTAGCACACCATGACACACACAGAGACTCTATCAATTTACCTAGGGGGAAATTCACTTGGAATGCCAATCAAATTGGGTGTGATCATAAATGGTAATAAAAACTGGCCACTACTCGATGCAACAAGATCAATCTGAGAAGAGGTTTTGAAAAATGTCACAGTGTTGACCTTTGAAGATTTACAGGATGTGGTGGGACATCTCTTATTTTCCTCTCTCTTTTTAAAATTTTTTTAAGTAGTTTCATCTAAGCTATTCTGGGGTCATCTGTGCAAGATGGATCTTTTTCTTTTCTTTCTTTTGGTACCAGGGATTGAACCCAGGGGGAGTTAACCACTGAGCCCCATCCCCAGCCTTTTTAATATTGTATTTAGAGACAGGGTCTCACTGAGTGGCTGAGGGGGGCTTTGAACCTACGATCCTCCTGCCTCAGCCTCCCGAGTTGCTGGGATTACAGGTGTGTGTCACCACGCCCAGCTTATGTCCCCTTTCTTTCAGCTGATTTCTTTAAGGAACGCTCTTCTCCAGCTCTCACTCCGTGTAGCGGGGGGCTCTGCTCCTACCTACCTCTCACTCAGGGTGGGTCTGGTGACCCAGGCTGCCCACTCTGGATGCTCCTCATTCCCAGTCAGGGGGACTGGCCAAGACAGGCAAGTGACCCAAGATGCGGCCATCAGAGCCAATTTCTTCAGCTCTGGGACACTTGCTAAACCTGTCTCCTGGAAGACGAGCTCCCTTCTCAATACTGAGCTGACAAAATGTCACCCTGGAGCTGGCGCCCATCGTGCCACAAAGCAGAGAGGCGGCCCAAGACAGAATCAGGTACCAAAGGCAGCAGAACAGAGAGAGGGAGAAGGATCCTCGGGACATCATCCGAAATCCTAGATCCATTCCTGGGCCCTAAAGGCTATGTGGGTCCATTCCGTTTTGCGACCATGGCCAGTGTGAGTGGAGACTCTGTCACTGGCCACCAGAAAGCCTCAGCATGAAGGATCAGAGTGCGTCTGGCAGTGATCCCTCAGCCTCCTCTAGATGGCTGATGGACAAAGTGACCCGGTTCCCATCATGGAGGCTGTGAAGGGCGGGGGGGGGGCGGGGGGAGAGCAAGTAATCTCGGGGCTCAGCTGAGGAGGGGGTTAGTTACGTAGATGAGGTTCTCGTTGAAGCGCTTGCGAAGATTGTCCACGAAGGCGGATTCGCTGGTGTGCGCGTCCAGCAGCACAAAATCCTGCACCCCGACCTTGTCGCGGGCCGTCAGTGTCCCCTCCATGTGCAGACGGATGTGCTCCCTCCTCACCTCTTCTTTCTACAGGAGACAGAACATTCAGAGTTTTTACTCCACGTCTCGTGCTCCGCCCTGGGAGAGCCCTGAGCCAGGGTTCAACTGCAGCCAGAAAGTTCCTGTAGGCTATTTGGACAGTAGGTCCCCTTTTCTGTTTAGATTCACACGTGCCACAGGGGTACCGCTGACTGCGGGGTCTGGACAGCCGCCTGCTGTTTGGATGTGCAGCCAGAAGTAAAGGGCCATCCTCTAAGGTCCAGGTGTGTGTAGGCTCTGCCCTCGAGGCCCGTGATGTTCACAGGACGGAACTGGCTAAGGATGCATTTCTCAACACCTCCTTATCATTCAGTGACACACAAGTGTGTGTCTGTATGTGTGTGTGTGTGTGACAATAGCAACAGCGGCTTACTGACACCGTAAAATGGTATGCTGAGGGCTGGGCGAGTATCCTCTCAGGTAACCCTCGTTCTGACCCTAGGAGCTACTGTTCTCACGCCCCTGTGCAGATGAGGAAACTGAGGCACAGGAATGTTGTGAGCCATGACCACCATCTAAGGGCGAAGGGCCATCCCCCTGGGAGTGGCCAGCTGTAGGTGTGAGGCCCGGAACCTACCACACCTGTGTCAGGTAGTATATAGGACTATGGCAACATGATCATCAGGCCTTAGGCCAGGGCTGCGAGGTCACCAAGAGACTGTGGGCTCTGGGCACGCAGGCCTATCCCACCCCCCCACCCCTGCCCAGCCAAACCCGGAAAAGCAGAGCAGAGCCAGGGAACCAGGAAGAGCCATGGCACCGTCCCTCCAGCGCCCTCTAGGGGCTAAATTCACATCACATTATTGCAAAGCAGGTGCTGAGGGTGAATTTGGACCCCAGGGGCAGACAGGCAGAGGTCCTAGACAACCAACCCCACCTTGGAAACAAAAACAGAGTCCGAGGACTCACATTTCCTAGCTTTAAGTAATCAAGACGGAAGTAAAAGGCTCTCCTATATAGTCCAGGTGTTTTTTGACCCAAGTACCAAATAATTCAGTGCAGAAATGAAAATTCTTCTCAAGCAACGGTTCAGCTACTGCTGCAGACCCACAAACAAACAACAGACAGACAAAAAAATTGTATTCAATCCCTACCTGACACCATGGGTCTACCCATAGATAAGATAAATATATTTATAAACTTGAGATGGATCTTAGCCCTAAATGTTAATGTAAACTCTAAAATGCCATTAGAGGAAAACAAGACGAATATCTTTGCAACCAGAAAAAGACAAAATGTTTTGAGGACACAGGAAGAAATAATAATTAAAGAAAATAGACTTTAGCAACCATAAAGCTTCTCATCAGAAAGGCATTGTTAGAAAATATAAAGGCAAAAAATATTCATAAGTACATAGCTACAAGGATTTGTATCTTGAATAAAGATAGCTATGGCTGAATAATAAAAAGACTATCCCCATAAAAATTGGGCAAAAGACAGGAATGCAGGGCTGGGATTGTGGCTCAGTGGCAGAACTCTTGCCTCGAACATATGAGGCACTGGGTTTCATCCTTGGCACCCCATAAAAATACATAAAATAAAGGTATTGTGCCCATCTACAACTATTTTTTTTAATTTTTAAAAAAGGAATGAACAAGTTACAAAGGAAGGTAAATGACCAATAAGAACATTGAAAAGTATTCAGCTCATTTATCTTCAGGGAAGTGCAAATTGAAATCACAAGGAGATACCCCAGAACGGTTAACATTAAAACAATCTGCACACCAGGACAGGTGTGGTAGTGCATGCCGGTAATCCCAGGGACTCCGGAGGCTGAGGCAGGAGGATTGTAAATTCAAAACCAGCCTCAGCAATAGTGAGGCCCAAAGCAACTTAGTGAGACCCTGTCTCAATATAAAAGGGCTGGGGATGTGACTCAGTGGTTATGCACCCCTGGGTTCAATCTCCAATGGTCCCCCGCCCAAAAATACTTACACACCAAACTGGTGAGGATGCAGAGCTGGCTGAAGTGCACGTCCATGGCTGGCAGGAATGCAAAAGGCATGTGGCCACTCTAGAAAAAGGCCTGGCAGCTTCTAATGAAGTTAACCCAGGCCTCTCTCCTTTGATCCAGCAATCGCATTCCCAAGAATTTACACAGAGAAGCGTGAGCACGAGCCACAGAGAGACTTGAATGCGAAGTTCGGCCCATGCTCCGCTTGGCTCATAATGGCCCCAACTGGAAACGATCCAGATACCCTTCAGCCGGAGAATGGAGGGGAACATCTGTATCACACAAGGAGCTCGCCACAGAAGGGACACAACGCGGACACGTCATCGCTCGGATGACTCTCGCTGGACATTGTGCCCGCTGAAAGGACCCGGACACAAAGGCGTGCACACTGTGTGACTCCGTTGGTGTGACATTCGGGGACAAGCAAAGCTAATCTACAGTGAAAAAAACACAACAGTCGTCGCTTGCTTGGGGGATTGTGGCCCAGAGGATGTTTCTGGAGCGATGGAAATGTCCTGTAGGTTGATAAGGCGTGAGGGCAGCTGTCTGCCAGGATCCTTAGGGACAGTTTGGTGCATGTCGGTGTGTACTTTTTAAAAAAAATTATTATATATATATATTTATTTTTTTTTTTAGTTGTTGATGGACCTTTATTATATTCATTGATTTTTATGTGGTGCCTGGAATCGAACCCAGTGCCTCACACACGCCAGGCAAGGGCTCTGCCCCTGAGCCCCTGGCCCAGCCCATGGGTATGTGTTTAATGACACTGAACTGAAGACCCATGACCCAGGGCTGGAGGGTGGGTGCAGGGATCAGTGAGAGCACAAAGGCAGCCTGTTAACAGCTGCTGAAACTGGATGATGGGCCCGGGGAGGGGGTTATCATACTCTCCTGTTCACTTTGTGCAAATTGGAAAATTTTCATAATAATGTTTTTTGTTTTTAAAGAAATAGACCGGCCACCAGATGTCTCCCTACTCTAACCAAACAGGTTCCTTTTTCTCCTACATTTCCCGGAGGCCTGAGCAGACCCAGGATGGCTCTGCGCTGGCCTATCACAGGCAGCGGGGCGGGGAGCGCTTCCCGCAGGAGGTGCGCAGGGCAAGCCACTTTTTCCAAGATGCCAGACCTAGGAGTTTGCAAAACCAGGGACATTCCCAAGCTGTCCTTGGTCCCGTGTTTATGAGGCGGCGATTTCCTTGTCCGTGTTTTGGTGGCCCTGGAGTGGAATTCATAAAGGGAAGACAGAATCAATGCTTGGCTGGTAGATTTCAGAAGAGTGAGTTGGCCCAGAGTGACTCATTGTTCCAAGGTGACAATGAGCTCTCGAACAGCATTCTGTGTGTTCGTGGGCTTATGTGTATTTGATGGTTCTATGACAATCATTAGCTTTATTGAGGCTACCATTTTGGGCAGCTGGGAACCTGTGAAGGGGGATATCAAGTCCTCTGGACGTGCCTTTAAGGATACTGAGCCTCGTGTTCACAGACCTCTGATCCCGGCTCTGGTTTCTGGGTGGGAAGACAGAGGCTGGGGGCTCCCTGCTCCCGGAGGGTCCGTGTTTCTAGGTGTTTGTTAAAATATAACACGAGTTCCCTCCGATTCTAGCAACACGATACATCTCTGAGAGGTTTATATTTAAATTTTCCTTTATCTCTTCCCCTTTCTTCCATTCCAATTCCAATTCAATGATACGAGCAGTTTCTCACTGGCCATCTTCCACACCAAATACACAGGAGTCTCAACAACATCGACCCCATCACCAGCGTGATCACAGCAAAACATTGAGATTTTTTTGAATTCCTTGTCCTTAAGGTACACTTCGGTGCATGGATTCACGTTTCTGAACTTCCTCGAGAGAGCTGATCTCCACGTAGCTGTTCCAGAAACGAGATACACTCAACTGAGGTCCATTTCTTTCCTTATACTGTTTATTTGGGGAAATTGATTTCTAAAGGTAATTTTGTTTTATTATTATGTAAAACATTCAATGGTTCCAAAAAACAAGGTGAATTTAGAGAATCAGCCCCCTACCCTTCCCCCCTCTATTCCTTCCCTCCTCCTGTGAACGACCATTTAAAAATGTTAGAATTGCTAAGAATTGTTTCTTTAAAAATATCAGCAGATTCCTGTGTCAGTCTGCTTCCCTCCTTTGTAGGACAAATGTTTGCAAACTCTACATGCTATTTTTTCCCCTCGGCTTTTCACTGGGATATTTATCTCGGATATCACTTTGAAGTTGATTAGAGAGACATTCCTCGTTGTTTTTCAGAATTGCATAGTACTCCACTATTTGTACTTACTGAGCTGCAGTTTACTCAAGTGGTCTCATCGTGAGGGATCTGATAGAAATTGGCAGAAAACAAAGGTAAAAAAGAAAAAACAACCCCCCCCCAGCAAGACATTGAAATCTAAACACCACAATTAACTGACACCCGAAGAACACTGTACCTGACAACCTCAGAATACTTATTTTAGTTCAAAAGCACACAGGATATTTACAAAGGTTGACATTATCCTGGCCCACAGGGAAAATCTTAAACGTCAAAGGATTTAAATCATAAAAATGTGCCCATCATCAAGCTTCTGGGCCAGTATTGTCTGATAACTAGAATATTCTGAGATGAAAATGTCCTACAGCCTCGCTGTCCAGTACGGCAGCCACCAGCATGTGTGGCCTCCATGCACTTGCGATGTGGTCAGTGAGTCTGAGGAACTGGGTTTTTAGTTTCATTTGGATGCATTTAAACAGTCCTGGGTGGCTGGGGACTCGGGCCTGGGCAGCTCAGGTGCAGATCCGACTTCCAATTCCAAGGACAGTTAGGATGAAAACCACTTAGAACAGGGCAGCTGTGTGCGACCACCTGAATCCAGGCTGCAAGACTCTCCAGGACAGACTCTCTCGTTTCTTCAATATTTGTTGAGAAAAACTGCAAAGAAACCTTTTTTTTTTTTTTTTTTTCTTGGTGCTGGGGATTGAACTCGGGGGCCCTCAACCACTGAGCCCCATCCTCAGCCCTATTTTGTATCTT